GTTGGTTATCAGCAGAGCATATTGGTTGTTGGTTATCAGCAGAGCATTACCAAAGCTGTGATTAGGCTGCTAATGACAGATTTAAAAAATAAGCCACAGGTAAATTTCCTAAATATAAATTCAATTTCTTATTTATATTTATTATTTATATTTTGACCATTTACAACTGTGACGAATTGACAAATACGAAAGAAAGTAATTTATTTCCTGTTTTATTTTTTGACAAACTATTTTACTTGGCACACTATCAGTTGTCAAATTACTCCTTGCAGTTCCACACCTCTGCTTTTATTTCTGTTATCCTGTGAGAAGCAAGTTGTGTTTTTTTAAGAATGTAGTATCTTTATGAGCAGGATAAAACCCTACTCAAAGTTATATTAGTTAAGTTATTTATAAGGAGTGTAAATTTGTTACCGTGATAATGTGATAAGTGACAGTGGACAGAAACAACACTGTTGTCTTGTGTCTAGATGATTAATAACATATTAGTATATTAAAATATTCACTCTAATGTTATTGAATACATAGTTTAAAAAGCAGCATAGTTATGGATGACTTAAATATGTGCACGACAGTAAAAACACAAACACAAGTACTACAATATTATAATAATAGCAGTAGAGAAAACCTTTCAGTTGTGTTCAGATTTTTCATTCACTCCAACAACCAGGGTGACAGCACTGGCAAGTTGGGATTCCATGAGTTCAAGTATTTATGGAACAACATCAAGAGGTGGCAGGTATTGATGAGGGTTTTATTCTTTACTATAAACTTTATTTGTATACCAACATTATGTCATATTCAAACCAGCATGAGAAATTAAATTCCTAGACTTCTTTGAACTGTCCTGGTGCAACCATAAAAATAAACACAAGAATTTATATGATACACACACACACACACACACACACACAGCTCTGGAACATATCAAGAAACCACAGATAATTTTTTTCACTCAATACTCAATTTATGGATGTGCTTCTGTTAATAATATATATTTGCAAACTGCAGCCTGCTTCTTCTCCTCATTAATGAAGGGCTTCTTCCTTGCTTTATGGGGCTTCAGTCCTGCTTCTAGAAGCCTGATACGAACTGTCCTAGCACTGGTCATTCCCAGTGTCTCCTGCTTCACCTTATTCTTGTGTTCTGCTGTCTTAGAAATGTTGAAGTGAAATATACAAAAATGTTGGTTTGAATTTCTCCTCAGGGTATATACAAGACGTATGATGCAGACCGTTCAGGTACCATTGATGCAAATGAGTTGCCCAAAGCTTTCAGAGCTGCAGGTGAGTACAGAAAACTACAGTGGTCACCTTGGGTAGCTGTGCGACTATTTGTGGTCAGGCAGGCTAAATGGTTAAAATTGTAACTAACTCGTTTGTAGAATTGTCACGAGGAAGCAGGTTTCAAATGCAACCTTAAAATTTTAAATATACTAGGATGTCCTTGAACTTTTTGGGACAGGTCCATATTACGAAACAAGTTATTTTTTCCTGATTGGCCTTCATGAAGTATTTGTGTAGCTATTCAGTATAATTATTTGTAAGTCGTGCCAAACCTTTTGGAATTATAAGGGTTTCTAGCCCACAAGCATATGGTTTTTGATGAGGATGCTTATTTTTTCATTGCTATCTCTTTAAATATTTAATTGCAGAATTCTTTATTGTCATTGTGTAGGTGTGGTTACACTAGTATGACATTGAGTAATAACTTCATTTGATGTACACATAGAACATGCAAAGGTGTAAGGAAATTTAAGAAAGTACATAATTTCAGTAGTTATGCAATGTAAATTAAATGTGGATTTAAAATATATATATATATATATATATATATATATATATATATATATATATATACACTGTATATATATAATTTGTGTTTTGGCAGTTGTTGCATCTGTTGTGATGGTTCCTTTTCAAGATTATTTAATATCAGCAGTTTACCTCTGTTGGTTTTGCATGAGCTCTGCATGTGCTCTCAGAGCCAATCATAATCATTTACCTCCGTTGGTTTTGCATGAACTTTGCATGCACTCTCTAAGCCAATCATAATCATTTTCATCTTTGCTGTGGACTCATAGTCAGTGTTGTGCATTTGTGAGAAATTTTAACAAACATGAGTGAGGGGGACGAAAGCAAACAAGATCTGGTCACCAAAAGACATTTACCCTCCCCTGTATGAAAATATTTTGGATTCCATAGAGATGATATTGAGCAAAATCAAGTGATTTGTTGGTGCATCTTAGTGTCGTCACCACTTCCAGCAACACCACCAACTTATGTGACGGACTTGATTGGTAGATGCGTTCTGTTTGGCTATAGTTTTACTTCCTTTTATTGTACTACTATAATTAGTGTTGATTTATGCCAAATGTAAAGTTAGTTATTATAATAAGTTGTTATTGTATGTCCAGAGCCTACAGGCGTGCCAACCCATCGCAGGGCACACTCACACATGCACGATTTGGTAACTCCAAGTAACCTCAGCATGTTATTTGACTCTGGGGAGGAAACTGGAGGAAACCCCATAATGACAGAAACTCCACTCCAAAAGTCACGGCAGATACTCGAATCCTGATCCTGGCTGCGTGAGGCAACAGTGCTAACCACTGCACCATGCTGCACCTTCATTGCAAACCCAAACCTTTAAATCAGTTGTAATCAGAAAACAGAGACCACCTCCAAAACCACTAGTTCGATTCAGGGTTCCAGGGGTCCGGAGCCTATTCCGGAGGCTAGAGAAGCCACCTATATCCAGCAATAGCAATTTTATGAAGGTCATTTAAACAGCGAGACCGTTATATTAGTTTCCACCCATATTGTCAAAAAGATCAATAGTACTTTTCTGCTTCTGAAGTAGACTATTAAGTCCAGTCTCCTTTACCGAATTCCCTCAATCTTCTAACCAGTTATCCTAGGCAGGGTTGTTGGGGGGGGGGGGGGGCTGTTCATGTAAATGATATGTAAATGTGCATGAGTATTAATCGTACTATAAATTTTTCTAACCCTCGCAAACAGGCTTCCCTCTTACCGATCAGCTGTTCCAGATGATCGCTCGCCGGTATTCTGATGAAAATGGGAACATGGACTTTGATAATTACATTGGCTGCCTGGTCAGGCTGGACGCCATGTGCCGTAAGTACGGATTTATCCTCTGAAGAACTTCAACTGTTTCCTTCAAACTGGCAACATTTATTCAGTTTTTTTTCTATAAACTTTCAGGTGCATTCAAGACCCTTGACAAGGACAACAATGGAACTGTCAATGTCAACATTCAGGAGGTAAAAAATGTTGTATTCATAATAAGAAAGTAAAGTCTAACTGAGGATAGCAAATATAACAATTATTTAATTTTGCTTTTATGGAAAAATTGAGGAAACTGGAAATGTGCATATATACACGGTACTGTGCAAAAGTCTTGGGTCATTAGAGAAAATGGAAAAACTGTTTAAAGTTGTTTGTCTGGGTAATAAGTGTATATTTGAGCAGAAAAACACACAATTTAACATTAGAGCATATATAGATTAACAGTAACAGAATAACAACTAACAAGAATTTATCACCAGCTTAGTCTGTCAGTCAATCAATCAGTTAATCAATTAATTTAGTTAGTTAATTAGTTAAATAACTCAATGAGGTGTTGCTAATGGTCCAGTCAACATACACTGGAGTTTTGGATGGCTGCTACAGATGCTGGGGTGGCTGTAAGTGAGGTTTTGCGATGACTGACACACCTTGACAGACATCATAGTTTTACAACCAACATGAAGATCATTTAACCATCATTTTCTTTGAGTTGCCAAAAATGTCATATGGTTCATTCAGTTAGTTGTCTTTATTAATTCAACCTGAAACTATTAACCCATATTAAAGTATTCTTATAAATCTACTGCTATCAGCTGGACTGGTTCCCTTGATAAGAGAGTACTTTTAAATAGCATGATGTCTAATGGGACTTTTTTTCTCCCTTTTCAGTGGTTGCAGTTAACCATGTACTCCTGAAACACTGGACTGCCCCTTCATCCTTATCCCTGTTTCCACAATTGAATGCTTTGCTCCCGTCCTTTGTACTATGCTTGTCTCCTCTGAATGAGCATCTTCTAGTTTATAGTGCTGGGGAAACAATTTGTTGAAATGTTGTAAAACATTTTTATCGATATTTACATGGCAGTTATGTTATATTATTCACATGCAGAAACTAAATAAAATTCCGGATTTTGATGCCTTGAAACTTCGTTTCTGTTGTATGTAAAAACACTGTTAGGTGCCTTACTCTGTGCACAGGCTGTTTTCAGTATACAACACGACCACTAGATGGCATACTAGTAATAATTCCAAATAAGACCTGGACAAAGATGTTTACTTTTTTGGCAACCTAAAAAAAGGAATTTGAATAAAAGAATGATTATCTGTCACTTATCAGTTATGTGTTTTTGTCAATAAATTTTCCATCAACATAATATACTTTATATAACACACTTAGATAAACAGCACGGGTTTTTACATTGTTAAAATAAATAAAAAATCTGAACTACTATACTACATAGATTATTTAAAACATTGAATATAATATACATTTAGAAATATTTATATTAGAACAACAAATACATTTTACTTTGTATATCTGGCTGTTATAAAAATACAAGTACATTTGCTAACCATACAAGTACATTTGCTAACCATACCCATTCTTTAAAAGTGCATGATATGAAAATATAGACTAGGTTTAACTTGTATAATGAAACAATGTTTGTTTATGTAAAATATCTAATGTTGAATGTATGAACAGCCTGGATGTTTTAATTACCTCTGCCAGTGGCGGCTTGTGAGCCTGAACGCAATAAACTTTATTTACACGGACAGAGACGCACAGCCGATCATGACGTGCGCAGGTACCGGTTACCAAAGCAACTGGATCTCTGCGCTCCGCGGACTGGGATCGCACGGCGGACTGCCACTGGGCAGTACAGCAAAAACCGGTTTGCCAGAATCAACAGCTGTCTGAAGGTGTCATCTTGTCTGCCAGGAGGCAGAACTTTCGGAAATAGCTCTCGGAAGATGAAATTGAAGGCTGAAAAATAAACCGGTATATTCATTATCGCAGATAATCGGGACCCAAGTTATCCTGCACAGAATTGGCTACACGCATCAGGTAAGTAGCAAAAAGGAGATTCTTAGAAGTTTGGTTGTGGGTATATAGTATGGTTATAATTTAAAAAGATTATTGGTTAGTTAATCTCACGTAGGCCTAAGTGAGAAATTAAATATCATATGAATACTCCAAGTTTTCCATAAGATCCCCATTGCTGCCGCTTGTATGTTTGTAACTATTACTTACATTAAGAAAATGAAACCGTCTCCTGTAGTATTAAGTGTGCAAAAATGATTCTTATTTGCTTTCTTTCGATCTTTTCATAAAAACATTACCCTGCGTAACATTACCCTGCGTTTTAAAAACCAAAAAAAGACCAGGGTCTAAGTCAGGATCACATGGGACTTTACTCTTTTTGTTTTCTAAGGATGGGTGGCATCGGGACTGAAATACTCGGGGCTCAGCTTAAAATACTGACCTAACGACGCCCATCACAACACAAATAAACTGATAGCCAGGTACAGTTTGGGGGCGGGGGGCGGGGATGGGTGCCCATGACGTACTGAACGCTGGAAAAGCGGGGTAGTACCTGATATTTCTGCTGCATGCTTCCTGTGAACACTCTGGGCCATACTGTACCAGCCGTTAATGGAAATGGGTACATTTTAACATTGCATTATTTATTTCTAAAATTAAATACGCGTAGTGTTGAATAAATACATAAACAAAAACAAACAACAGTTTATTAATAGATTAAGGTTCATAGCCCCTAATAACTCAAGCAATGTATTTATTATTGTATTTTACGATTTCTGAATTGGTTCTGAAATAAAGCCAATATAAAGTATTTCCTTGTACCGCACTTTCAGCAGTTATAAAGACCTTTAAAGAAATCTTGCAAGAAACAGCATAGTGAGAAGCATCTTATCTAATACAGGCCTACTATGTGCATAGTATATAGTGTATTGTGAAGTGTGGAAATATATATTATTTATAAATGATAAAGCCAGAGGCTTTGCGGACTTGTGCCATCACATAGTATGGAAAACCCTAACCTTGCCTTTCACAAAGGATTCTATCTTAGTGGATTTCACTGAGGAATCTCTGAGGTGTCTTTAAATCAACATGGGCTAACAGTTATAGGCTAGTTTGCCGTTACTGATCCTACTCTACCCTACTCAGCAAATAATGCAGAATGTACCACTAAGTCTAGCACATATTTTGTGATTCTTATTCTGGTCAATTCAGGAACAGACTCAAAGTTATCAGAGACAATATGCATCAGAACATCAGAGAATGGTTTGTAATCTTCCCCCAAAAATGTCAAGGCTTAGTTGTTGATGATTCTTCAGTTTTCAAAAGATGTGTAACAGTTTTCTGTCCAGCCTGGATTATTCTCATTAGGTAAAACATAGAATGTTTCCTGCTGAAAGAAAACACACCTTCACATGAACAGCAACACCACAGTAAGTGGCCGTTGGGAGGATTTCAGACAAACAGGGAAGGTCACCTGACTCACCCTCTACAGCAACCCTGGGGCCCCCAGGGATCACAAAACACAGGGGGGAGGATAATGAAAAGGAAGAAAACACTAACTTAACCAAATGATGAAAATATGGCTCTGGGAAATGCATCTTATGAAAATGAACCTGGGAAATGAATTTTATTTATAACTACAGCAACAGCAATAGTAAATTTATAATTATGGTCATCATTCAGTGCTTATAAAAATTTTAATAAGTTTGTAGGTTTTCTTAAATAATAACTACATAGAAAATAAAATAAAATAGAACTGGCCAATAATAATAAAAATATGTAGATTTAGTTGATGGGAGTGTATATTGAAAGTATGGTGAGAAGCTCAGTTGGCTAGGTCTGCGCCCCCCCCCCCCCCAAACCCTAGGCATGATGACAAATACTACGGTAAGAATCATCCCCCATAAAAACAGTTATTATAACCCTTTGACCTCTGGAAGTTTAACAGATAAAGCACTATACACAAGCAAAGATAATACAATTAAGAGTTTGGAAGAAACTGTCAACGTTGTGAAAGTATTGTCAGAAGCAGTACAGTCAAGAGCAGCGAACCGTTCCAGGAGTAATGATATATCACATATGACATGGAATGTGATAAGTGCAGGCCTAACTTCCCTGGATCACTGTTATATGGCGATCGACAGTGACTTTAAGGCACTGTTACATTAATTTACCCTGGTATCTATAGATAAAGCATTACTGTATTCCATACAGGAAGAAAGGAGAAGAGGTGATCTCATGATGTCCATACATGACAGGTTCTCTTTTTCACTACTGGTAGCTTTTGTAGCACAAAAACACACCCATGGTCTCAAGTGCACCGTCAATGGGACCCCATCAAACCTCAAAGCAAAGCAGTTAGCAGCTGTGAGCTCAGAAAAAGAGCAGTAACTAGTTGTTGAACAGACAAAAGCACAGAAATGCACGGACTTGATCTATAACCAGAGGTGGAGATTTCAGGCCCAGAGAGAACAAATCCAGACCAACCAACCAGCTGAGTATAAGAGTCACAGTCACAGAGTACTCAACTGGTTGGTTGAAACAAAATCTTGATCTGGATTTTTACTTTCTGGAACAGAAACTTCCACCTCTGGAAAAAACGACGTCAAGGAATCAATCTGGGGTTCAAAGATAGCCTTCTAATAGATAATTATACATCTATGACTCCACTTAATCAGCCATTTTCAAAGCTTCAAAGCAAGAACTCCCTAAGGTGCCAATTTCCACAGCTGCTAAGCTGTGACTCACTCTGCTCTTATTTGAGTCCCGCTCTGTTTTTCTGCACATGAAATGGTCCGAATGCTACATGCACGCTCTTACAGGGCTTTTGAAAGGAAGTCATCTCCTGTTTTTTTTTCTTTTGCCAAGACAGCTGCTCGAGTGACATTTATGATGCTTTACTTGACAGACTAAACATGAATGAACTGGAGGGAAGCACATGAGAATGAGATGTTACAACGTCTAAGTTACTGGAATCCATTGCTGTGATCAACACTGCAGGTTGTTTAGTCATTAACTTAGTTAATTCATAAGTAAACTGTATTTGTCATTGGGATTTCCTTATAACAATTATCAAAGACATTGGTGAGTTAAAAAGTTGCAGGTGCAATATATATTTATTTATGTGTACTTATTTTCTTATGTATATAAGTAATTGCACTTATCCAAAGATGTTGAGGCTCTAGTAATTCATTGTTGTGTTAGGTGGAACTACATTTGTCTGAAGTTCAAAGAAGGGAAGAAAAATGCAAAAAAGGGAAATAAATATATTTTTTTCTGATAAGATCTTTTTTGGATATTCCCGTCTGTCGTCCCCAAAGTGCTGAGTGCAAGTATGGGGCAGCAAGTCTCTTGAATACTAAACAAAATCAACCACCATTTTCCACTTAGTAATATAGCCAAAATCATCACATCACATTTTTATATATAATCTATAAACTATTGATGTTTTTCTTTTTTGTTTTTCTGTATTGACTTGGAAAAAAACATTGCTTACTTTGTGATTATAGCCCTGTTACAGTTACCTGTTACCAGAAGAGGAAAGCTCAGGTCCTGAGAGTTGAGTACTCTGTGAATGTGACTCTTTATACTCAACTGGTTGATTGAAACAAAATCCTGGTCTGGATTTGTACTTTCTGAACCTGAACTTTCCACCTCTGCCTGTTACCAAATATAGATCCTTCTCAACATCTAAGTCCATAGTAATTCAAGACAGAACTTTCTGGGTGGCAAGAAAGAATAGGAAAAGTTCAGGGAAATGTGACTGGTGATTCAGAAGTTATATTTTGGTCTAAATAAGTGCCAGTTTGTTACTCCCCATAACCTGTGGGGGCTCGGCCAGTAAGGGCTCCTATAGATCAGACCACAGGTACAATCAGAGCTTCCGCAGTGAAGGGAAAGACCCCTGCAGAGTACAGACATACACAGTCATGCAGTGTTGGGCAATTTAAAGACTCTGTATTACCTAGTAACATGTTTCTGGACGGCCAAAAGAAACCAGTAACCCCATAGGATATCAAATGGGTGGGGTGGGAAATTGTATCTGTGATTCTGCAGGAATGAATGTATGAAGCTATAGTGTCTGTCCCCATTCTGCTCTTCGATTATTGCACTACCAAATATCCACCCAGTAACTTATATGTGTTACATGTTATATGTGCTCTAAATCAGTTATTCTCTCCCACCGTTCGTGACAGTAGAGCTTATGTGACATGGCTGCTGACACGGCCATAAAGACAGAGATGGAAGAGCTGCAAAGACGGGCCAATCAGGCTACAGACGAGGTAATCAAAATTGTCATCTTGGGTTGCTATTAATTCATTATTACATTGTTGCACACACACTAATCATTAAAGCTACTTCAGTCAGCTTATTTAAACATTTAAATTTTAGTCACTTGTTATCAAATCTACTATTGTTTTTCATATCTCTTACTTTAAACTGTGAACTAGGCATTTATTTTGAGAGGTATATGGTACTTCTCCATTGCCCAGTTCTGGTTTGATAGCAGTGTGCTGTGCCAGAGATGACATCATCCCTGCCCTGTTCCCTGCTGTTTTCCCTGCTGTTGTGGGTAACTGCAGGTCGCGCTTCCCGACAGCCACATCTCAGTTGGGAGCATGCTCAGTATCTTTTCCCACTGGCACAACAAACAGCTTCATAATTAAACTAAATGCTTATACTTCTAAATCATAATTCCAGAGCACATGCTTGGAGAAATGTATTGTTGCACCACATTGTATTTATAACTGAGCAAAGTATGAATCAAATATTATGTCATAAAAAGTAACATTTGCATGATGTTTATCTAACACCCTTTTCCAGGTTTAAAAAATATGCTGTATACAAACAATATATTTAACTCAGGATTTACTAAACTGAAGATAACTTAAGTGTGAAAGTCATAAATAAATGCTTAAGTATTTATACATAAATACCCAAGTAACATTACCAAGCCTTTTATATATGCTTAGCCATTCATAACTGTGTTCACTCTTTTCATTTCTTTGCAGTCCCTGGAGAGTACGCGCCGGATGATTCAACTTGTTGAAGAGGTAAGGGTGCCTCTGCTATTTCCCTTTTATATTCCATCCATCCATCCTCCACCACTTATTAATATCCCATCGTATAAACGTTTTTAAAAAAATCACACAATACGTACATGATAGAATGTTTTATTTTTATATTAGGAATCAACAAACAAATTTAACTCCAACTTTCACCTGGGCAAGTGATCAGCAGATATGAAAGGAAAGGGTTAAAAATGAGTGTGAAAGGGGTATAGTATATAAACAATTTACAAGCCCACTAATTGCTCACATCTGGTCTAGAGCTATAATTCAGTGGATTAGAATTTTGAATATGAAACAAAATGCATTTATTAGTCCGTAATTTATGGTCGATGGAAAATTTTGTTTACAGTAGTTAGAGTCTATGAAACAGAAATGAGCAACAGGAAGAAGATAATGTTCACAAACGGCGTATCTTTTATGGATTTTCATGTCATATGCATTTAGTTGGAATACATAGTACAATATCCTAAATAAAGGAACAGTGGATTTGTAATAATGTAACATCTGTGTTGTGAAGGGCGTCTGTCATTCATTAGAAAGACGTGCTGTCATACTACGAGTCTTTTTGCCCCTGGACACATGCATTGCCCAGCATTTCTAAAAAAAATGTGTTTTTCATCATCCCCTACAACTTAGTCAAATGACTTCAGATCAAGTTAACTGTACCATGAACACAACACTGTAAGGCATGTCAATCAGACATGCCTTACAGAATTCTTACAGGGAAGGGTCATATTGGCTCATAACAATTTTTAATCTTATAGCAGTTACAAAGTGGAATTGCTATTTTTAATAATTTATTGACTAAACAAAAAAATTACTGTGTACATCTTAACGGTGTAATTTTTGGTCTGTCTTTAACAGAGTAAAGATGCAGGGGTTCGAGCTTTGGTCATGCTGGATGAGCAAGGAGGTACTGAAATCAGAATGTATCTGTCGCCTGTATTTGTCTCCACTAAATTTTGATGTTTACAGAATAAAGTAGTAATGATGTCACGTGATCTTGTTTCACAGTAGCTTCCACAAGATTGTATTCAATTAATTATACAGTAAGCAAGGAAAATGTAATCTAATTCAGAATGAATGGTAGTTTGTTATGTCAGATGAAATGGACTGAAGACATCGAGGTAACGTGGAAAAATACGGTATAACAAGGTTAATCATTTTGAAAAATGAAAAAAAAAAGATTTTCTTTCTCTCTGCAGTGCTGTGTGTTTTCAGTATATGATGGCTTTTCTTGAGTTTGTAGTGCTTGAAAAGGATTAGGGTAGAAATTCAGATTATGATAGATGAAGATATTTATCTGTGGAAGAGTATCCAAGTTCAAGTGTGGAGCCACATGAATTAATCCTACTGAGATCATTATAATGCTGTGCAGTAACCTATAATTATATAATACAATGGTCATTGAAATATTCGACTAGGGCAGAACCAGATGAAAAATATTATTTCATGAATACTTTATTTTCACATAATTTTCAGAGGTTGCTGTTATTACCCAAATTAGATTTCTGGCTCATAGTCTTTAATGAAAAAGTTAAAAAAAGCAAGTTGTGGAAAAGTGTTTAATATATGATTAATATATGATAAATAAATATATCATAAATATATCACATATCTAAATAAATAAGACTAAATATTAAATAATACATGTGTATGTCTATATAGTATAAAATATATTTCAATATACAAATATTAGCCTAAGACTTTTTGTTTGTATGGGAAATTATAAAATTGTCCTTTGTAAATACTCTGAGATATACAAGGCAATGTCTTGTAACCTTATATAAGCACATTATGACATCATCTAAGCTGTCATTATGACATCTTCTAAGCTGTCATTATGACATCATCTAAGCCATCACACCAAGTGACCATGTAGCTTACTTTTGAGGTCATTTCCTCAGCCTGTAACCGACTCCTGTGTGTATCTAATGTGTGGTTTGTGTGTGAATGTGCATGTGTGTTTGTAAATGCCTGCGTTTTGCATGTGAATGCATGTGGTCCCTCCTACATTGCTTCCTCCTGGCCTCGTGCCCACTTGCTGCATGCGGATAGGACAACTGGATCGCATCGAAGAGGGCATGGATCAGATCAACCAGGACATGAAGGAGGCTGAGAAAAACCTTACTGATATGGCCATGTGCTGTGGTCTGTGCATCTGTCCATGTGCCAAGTAGGTCTAAACCCCAAAGCATTCACAGGCATCGGGCACGATGAGCTTCCCACGAGTTGATCGGCTTGATGGTCATTCAACCGTTCATAACCATCCTCATAACCATGCTTTATGACTTTGTGATCGTGGCTTAGTGTGACAGTTGTGTGATTAGAAGTTATCTGGTTAAAGACATCATACATCTCCAGGGTATGTCGTCATGGAGACATGGGGATTTGCAGCTATCAGTAGCTATATCCAGATTTATGTTCATCCAACTTGCGTGTACAAGCTACTCATGCAGTGTAGGTAGACTGAGCGTGTAGTATTGCTTTATAGGGAATTCAAGAATTACATGACCATGAGCGAAAATAGGTGACCGTCATTGTGACGTCTCCTGGTTCATTTTGGCATTATGGTAAAACTTGTTTTTGCATGTACATAGAATATGGTGAAGATACAGAACATATACAGTACAACACATATACTTCATAATAGTAAAGAGGAGCTGGGGAAGATTTCCATGAATAATATCAAGATGGGAGTATGTTAATCTCTTCTACTCACACACAATGTTGCCTCTTATGTGGTTCATCTGTTGTTTTCTTTTGTTGTGTTGTTAATTTTTATTTGATTATACAGTGCTCACAGAAAGTCTTGGAACGCTTGCTTAATTCTGTAAAAATGTTGCACATTTATTGGTTTCGAACAAGCAATGTTTGACATATCCGCACGTATCTTCCACACAGACACTTTCTCATTCAGTTTTAATTGTAATTGTAGTCACTGGCTCCCAACAGGAGGCTAAGCACAAATGTTTAGTGGTTTATATTATTGCAAAGGTGTTACTAACTAAAAAGCACCCAATGATGCTTGCCAATTAACTTTTTAACTGAGAACAGCCCTTTTAGAACTATAATGTGGGTTTCAATTTATTACTGGTTGAAAATAATGTTTTACTTAAAATTTCTGGTTGGTTCTAATGTCAGGTATATATTTTGGAAAAATAATAAAGTAATGATTTTTGTCAGAAAACCAATAATTTTGCTATATTTTTACTGTAATCAGGACGCATCCTGAGACTTCCTGGGAGCTCCTGTACGGCTATTTGCTTGTATCTTTTTGGAGCTTTACTGACAGGACTGATGTTTTACTGGCTCCAGCCTCCCCCACCTACCAGCCCCCGCACACTCAGTCTCTACCTACTTCATTTCCATCGACATTCCCTCCTTTGTCCCCACCCCCGTTGTCTAGAGCAACTGGAGCGAATTGAAGAATGCTTGGACCAGATAAATCAGGATATGGAGGATGCCAAAAATAACCTCACAGGCATGACCAAATGCTGTGATCTATTTTCCTGCAATAAGTAGGTGTGGGGGGTTAGGGATGATGACTTCCCTTTTCCGCACGTCTGTGTGCCAATCACAGTGCCTACATTTCATGCTGACTGGTGATCTGTATGCTTGTTTGCTTTCTGTAAGATGATCCAGAGTTCATCCAAGTTTAAACATAACATTATATGTTTTACTTAAAGCAGGTGCTTTACATTTATTATAGACAAATGCAGAAAGAGAAGGGCTCGGTGCTCATCACCAGGCCATACAAGTTAGAATACATGCCATGCTATGTAACAGTGTTTCCCAACCCGGTCCTCGGGGATCCACAGACGGTTCACATTTTTGCTCCCTCCCAGCTCCCTGCCAGGCAGTGCATATTTTTGCTCCCTCCCAGCTCTGTCTGGTGGGGTCCCTGAGTAGGGAGCTGGCAGGGAGCAAAAACATGGACAGGGATACACTGTTATGTAAGACCAAAATATGTGACATAGTTACCCAAGCATGGTGGGTAAAATGAGAACCGAACACCTGGCATATTTCTTTAATTGATAGTTGATTGTTGGTCTATCCTAGCCTAATCTAATTTTCTTCTGCAAGCAGGATATACTACTATCTCAACAGAAACTAACAGTAATGAAAATATATCCGCTGGTTCAAATTTCTCAGCTCACAAATTTCCATAGTAATAAGCAATGCTATGATTGAAAAATATCGTCATGCAGGGTCCTGTCTGTATAAATTCCGATGAATCAAACAAGATTTAATCTATGAAATGCAAAATAGCAGCAAGTTGTTTCCTGCTGTATTGCAGAACATTTGCACATTTAGAGACTTTGTAGGGATTCATGTTTCCTTATTAAATTATGAAAACATTGCAGAATTCACTTTACTAGCATAAAAACGTATAAAGTGCATAGCTGCACTAATACACTGCCGATGGCGGAAAGGTAGTGAAGAAGTTTATTCTGAGAAGTAATGTGTATGTTCCTTTCCTGTGATGATGGCAGACTGAAGGACTTTGAGATGAGTGGGGCCTACAGAAAGGTATGGGGGAGCAACCAGGATGGGGTTGTGTCCAGCCAGCCTTCCTCACGTGTGGTGGATGAGCGAGAGAAGATGACAATGAGCGGTTGCTATATTAACAGGTAACCTGCCTTCTGAAAGTCTGAAAAACCTTGAAGCTGCTAAATACAGCCAAAATCAAAATTGAGTGAAGACCCAATATGCACATGCAGTTACTTAAGGTTACTGGTTGTTTCCAATGTGATTTTTATTTTTTTGGAAGCAAATTAATAAAACAATGATTTTTGTCAGAACACCAATAAATGTATAGTATTCTTCTGTTCTGTGAGCACTGTACAAATATATTAAAGGTCAATTTATCCTTCAGACTGTAAGCAACTGTTATTTACAAAACAGAGATATCAAGGATAAGGAATGCATGATGAAAAATCCAACGTGCCTAAGATGACCACGTTAAATTTACACAAAAATTCTTTAATGCTCCGATAAGGTTTGGTACCACATTTTAATCAATGTATTGGCCTTCCCAATGAAGCGCTTAGCTCGTTTAAAATATGATGTCAGACAATTATGTGATATCACATTGTCTTAATTTAAAAGATCATATAGGTAGAAACATTCAAATCTGCAATGTCAGAATCAGGCTTTGTGGTTTTAGTGAACGGCAATTTTTTGTATATGTGTTTTTATGTGGGAATCACGTTTAATTATATTTAATCATATTATAGTTTTTGAAAGTCCATGGTATTTGAGGTACATTTCTGCTCTTGAGTGAAATCGGAAATGTGTTGCTTGTCTGAATTTCACTATTCAACGTGTCCCAGGGTGACAAACGATGCGCGAGAGGATGAGATGGAGGAGAATCTGACGCAAGTGGGCAGCATCCTGGGCAATCTGCGGAGCATGGCCTTGGATATGGGAAACGAAATCGATACCCAAAACGTTCAGATTGACCGCATCCAAGGAAAGGTCAGGGCTACACTTCCACCCGGCAAGAATAACGAACACATTCAAAACATTCCTGCTCTATCAGGCAAAATCTGCATTAATATAAACATCACGATATAAGATATTTTCTCTTTAAACCATTATAGACATCAATGCACAAGACAGAATTGATGCAGACATTCAGAAATATGCATACTGGGTATTAAACACTGAGGTCAGAGGCATTTTCAGTATATAGCAAAAACTTTATCTGTGAGGTAAATGAATCGCTTAACAGTGGTATTTTTACAGTGTCGTTTAAATGGCTTTTCATATTTTACACGTTATATTATATGGTCTCAGGAATAAATTAATATATTACGTTGTCACAAACATATAACTTGAAAAAATATGATAACTGCATATCTTTAAAGGTCACATGATATTTAGTCATAATACGTCATTACTGATTTTCTGCTGCACCACTAAAACCTTTAATGCCTAAATACTTTTTTGTTCTTTTTTGCAGGCTATTGTCAACCAATCCCGCATCAGTGAAGCCAACCAGAGGGCTCACAAGCTCATAGCTAGATAAATTGGGGAAAGAGAGTATTCATCTAATCGAAAACATACCGGTCTTCTGTCATAAAATCCTACCTATTGAGACATGCTATCGAGACTTTCTGCGCATGTGCACTTCAACCGTCTTGGGATTAGGGTTAGGTTTTAGGGGTTAGGGTTAGGGTTAAGGTAAGGGTTTTAGGGGTTTTGGGGGGTTAGGGTTAGAGTTAGGGTTAGGGCTATCGATTAGCACTACGGTAGCATTTTTCGACAAGGCAGCATATATCGACAGAACACGAGCTCATACACTTTTCCTGTCTTGCACACAAATATATAAATGAATGTACATTCACATTCAATATATCCATATTCATTTTCTTCCTGCTCCTTTCCTCACTCACACACATGTGAGCTTCCTAGGGTTACACACAGGATAATAACAAAGTCAAGAGACAATAAATGGGAGTATGACGACAGAAAATAAAAATATAATTTTCTTTGGACTATGACACAGGTTGCGAACAGCAACGGTTAAAGCTCCCTCTGGTGGTCAGGTATTATATCGTCTAACCCTTAATTCACTATTCCTGGGGACTCTGTAATGTATGTATACTATTGCAAAGATGGTTCTGATCTTAGGTGATTCTAAGCCCTATTCAGGGCGTCCTCAGCCAACCCTTTTGGTCTCAACCCCCCTGAAAAATTCTTTTTCTATATCGATTTAGCGACTTTATTTATTTTCGTGCACATCTATGGGGAAGTCCCCCTTAAAGGTCACATTCTATCGCCCCTGGTTCCGATCATAATTTATGACATTAGAGACGGGATTTGCTTGCGCTGGTATTAGACATTATTATAGCCAATTAAGTTTAATAATTCATTAAGTTTCATGCTGATTTGTAACGATTTTATTGTTTTTCTTGACTATAAATGCGCCACATTTAGTTAATTTGCATATATCGTTAAAAGTCGGTTTTAGATCAGTGTTTTCTAATAACAAGATAAAGACAGCCGATAAACCCGATAAAGTGGTTCAAGCAAAAGCTGCACAGAATCACTGATTTATCCAGATCTCTCTCTTGTATATAAGATCTATTACATTATCATAAAGGGGCAGCATTGATCAGCCGATACAAGCTTAACAATATTTTTTGGCTGTGTAATTAACCTGTCTTTTATGTAGATTATAAAGCCATATTATATTTTATGAGAATTGCTGTTGAACCCAAAATGTTACATTTTAAAACACGCAAAGCTACGTTACAGCAGAATAAGCGTATTTGTAGGTGGTTAAAATGATAGCATTTGTGGCCAGAATGTGTGCTTTTCATGTGTAAATGGTAAATTTTAATGACTTTTAGATAGAGATGTTCTAAATATACCACACTTGTGCAGAATTTTAAATCATATTGGATATAATTATTATTATTATCTGTAACTAAAAGTAGAATGAAAGTAGAATGAACACAAAGTTTTTCTTGTTTTGGCAGAACGGGGGCCCATTAGCCCCATATTAGGCAACATGGCTCCTCCTATTGAATGACCTGCGTCCTGTTCATTGCTCTGTAGTAACATCTCATGCTAGCCGGGACTCTATACAGTTGTAGGTGTATATATAATCTGAAAAGATTTACACGTCACACAAAGAAGCCCTGAAATTGATGAGAAATAATACTGTCTGTGAAATATATGCTGGTGAAATGTGTTTTCATCACGGCTTCTGCTTTGTGAATTTCCCTTTAAATGTAGAAAGTGTAGGATTTACCACTTTTATTGTATTGTTGTTCTCATTGTAACCATTGATTGACAACCTGTCAGATGGTTGGCTGTTCTGTTCTTGTGGTATAAGATTTAGCTAATAAAATGTTTTCTATTAAAGAAATGTCTGGTTATGATAACATGCATGCTAAATTACTGTCAAATTACGCTGTAATTAATGCACATTTTTACATTTACTAATATTGTAAATGGATGTAATGGATGCACTTTTTTACGTTCAGTAACAGTTGTTGTATGTTATGATCTTCGTCTATGTTTTCAAGCAGACTAGGCACGTGAAGGGGAGGGGGGGTGACTGCATGAGCACCAGTCCCGTTTGCCCAAACGAGTAAACGTGACCAATTCGGAAAAACGACGATCCACATTACCGAGACGGACCCCGCCCCCTCCATCTCCAAAATGTACCCTAAGCCACGCCCCCCCCCTCGTCAGCCCCCCGTTCGAGCACCTGCGCCTCAAAAACTCCGTAGCAGACACATAAATATCTTACTATTAATTAATGAGTAATGTGGCTTAAACAGAAAATATAATCCACTGCAACACTGCTTCAGCCCTATCGCTGTATGGAGGCAGCTTCCTGGTCACAGTACACCATGATGGGAGGGGGACAGTCACTGGTCTGGCGCTGTACCATCTACTCCGCTTGCTTATTTATTTGTTTGCTTATTAATTATTTAATTCAGTCTTTATTCAACCACGTACTGGCTACAGACCGTAGGTAGACATTTTAGTGTTAAAAGTATGTATAAAATGTCATGTGTACATACGAGTATATTGTCTTGAATTGTGTTGGATTTTTTTATCTTAAAACAGCACATCCACCAAGACAAATTCCTCTTATGTTTAACATATTTGGCAAACAAAGAACATTCTGATTCTCGTTGTTTTCTTGCTTTGTTGTATTTGTCTGGCCTATTGAGTGCTTGCAGTAAAGTCGGAAATTTTAATGGTTACTTGTGAGGGTAAAGTTTAAACACACCATTGGTGAGTGAGCTAGCAGATTATTAGAATTGTGCTGATTATATTCTTCTTTCAGTGCCATTGGCTTGGCGAATGTTACAATATTAACAATTCCAATTTAATATAGCTTAAAACAGTGGCATAGCTATAGTTAATACACTTAATGTTAACATGAACTAGTTCATAGAAGCGTTAGATATAATCTGCCCCGCAGCATGTTCCGCAGCGATAAAACCACCCAGTGGTTCAAAGAAGAATTACAGTTAAGTTACTGTATACGTTTGATGAGGTTTTAGCTAATTATCGGAATGCCTATAATAACATAACAATAAAAATATGACAGATAGAAATATTTAACATGTCATCTTACATTTTGTGTACCGTATTTAATTAAGAATTATGCAGATATTATTTATTAAAATATACTTTTTCTCACTTTAAACTATTTTTTTTAAACACAAAAGTACTGTACTGGGCTTAAAAAGTCGTTATTCTGTCCGGCTAAGCAAATAACGTAAGCAGGAAACCGGGCATTAAGCCAAAGGAGAGCTCTGATACGACTTCGTAGACAGGCGCCGTTGTTCTTGCGGACAGGGCTTATTATCTGAGTCTGCGCAACGCAGGGGTCCGCGACTGTACGAAGTTTCTGCGTTTGCTTCTGCAGTTCAAGAAAGAATAGCTCGACCTCTAACTGGTAATTTCAGATCATCTTAATACTAAAACTGTCACGGCGTGCATGTCGGAGCGGCTCTATGCTAGATGCGCGTGCATGGGAGGGGATTCGCCACATAGCTTAACGTGAAAATCAGTCGTAGCTAGCTGGCTCGCGAAGAATCGTCACCGAAATACGTCGTTGTCAAAATGGCAGCTGAACCCGAGCGCTGGATACAGTAGATATAGGATATTACCCACATTATTTTTCGTTTTTCGTTTAAGACATTGGCAGTTACCTTCATCAGATCGCAACCTGTGATGATGTGTAGCTGAAAGACCGTGTAACCTCATGACATTTATTTTTAACGTTAATAGGCGACGTAGCCTGACAGGCGCTAGCTAGCTTCCTAGCTAGCGCCTGTCAACAAAGAACAAGGAAGAAAAAGCGTATTGAAGGGGCATGTAAAGAAGCAGCGTACGTGGATTTTTAAAATGACCACAAATGCAACTGAGAATTTTATCAGAAATTCTGTGCGATGATTTTAAGGCAATTCTGCCCGAAACACTTGCGTCTATGGTTCCTAAAGAATGATACAGCAGCCAAAAGGATAAAGGTTATTCCTGCGGGGAAGCACTTAGCTACTGCAAACACCAGTGATTTGATAGCAAAATTAAACTTTGACCTGTCACCCGTTAATCGCCGTCTACGCACTAAACCCGAGCAAAATATTGTATAATAACAGGATTTTTAAATTGAAAAACAATGGATACTTCATAACCTTCGGGTCTAATGAGTTCCCAGGTGTGAATTTTTAGTTATCTCTAATTTGTTTTATTTTTTTAAAATTTTATTTTGTTTTCATGTTTGTCTTTTTCATGTCTTAAAAGTATTGTTTTAAATCCTTGCCTGGTTATGAAAATCTTCACAAAAATTACATTTTTTTTTCTTGCTTGTTTTTGATTAGTAAAATTTATTTTTGCGTTGTTTTAATTAATTAGATGTAGAGCTGTAAGTAGTTCCACAAATTGGCAGAAAAAGAAAATGAGCATCACAATGAATAAAGCCATTAAACAATAAAAAATGGAATACTTTAAGATCAAAATCACAAGGGAATGTTATCTTCAATTGATGGTACATGCATATATTATAATTTGAGCTTATATTTGGTGTAAATATAAACATAAATCTGCAAACACAATGCTGCAGTTTTCTAAGGGTCTTTCAGAGGATGGATTAAAATGCAAATAAATGGGTGAATATGTTCATTGTCAGGTGTTCAGTGAAGAGGGCTGATTCTTCAAGAACTGGACAAGGCAGGACGCAGGTGGAGAGAGAGGAAACGGGGTGTCCAGCACCGGACAGATGTCCGGCTTCTATTATAACCCCGCCGGCCGCGGGGGCAACGCCATGCGCTTCAGGAAGAGGAAGTCGCGCTTCACTTTTGCTGAGGTGCAGCTCCTGTTGAACGAAGTGAAGAACAACCGCCACATTGTTATAGGCAAGAAACCTTCCACTCCTCTCTCTGGCCAAGTCTGCTAGTGTGAAACAGGAGTCATCTTTGGGCTGGGAGGTCTGGGGAACATACTAGATTTAGTAATGGTGGGGACGTATTACCATGGCGATGACATTAAGGCTTAAATTAGGTGCCAGCCAATGAAAGTGAATGTCCAATGAATTATTGCTTGTGTCCAATGATATTTTAGACAGTTTGTTAATACATTTTTAAGAGTGTGATACAAAATATTTCAGCTCTAACATCCACGTTCCAAGGATTTTCAGCCAGCATTCTGTTAATGATTTATAATGATTTGTATAGAAGATAATACCACTAAAATTCTGGATGTGAGTAACCTTACAATTATTTGTGGCTGAAGACTTTAAATTACATTTGTATTCAAATTGTAACATGGTTTATACACTGTTTATGCACTGTGCTGGGATACAGCATAAAACCTACAAAGCCTACTGCTCACATAAGAAGATCTTAAACAAACTTAAGTACAAGATCAAAGCATGGAGAATAATAGACACATTTACATTACAAATTATAAATTAATTGTTTTTACTAGGCAAATAGATTTAGCAGAATGATTAAGATTCTTATGAAGAGAATTTAATTTATTGCAAGGAGACTGGTAAGGACATTTTTTGCTGAGCCAGATGGACTGCTCATTGTGATGAAAAGGTTAGGGTTACTGAAAAATGTAATTATTTATTTAATGCATATTGCCCAAGGTTCTTATGAATTATGGTCATATATAGGTTATAGGTCAGTCTTCGTAAACTTTTATATTCAGCCTTTTCAAATATTTAAATACGTATGTATTATTTGTGTGTTTGTGATTTATAGTCGTGTAACATTTTATTTGTGTAACCTGTAGGCAAGTTCAACAGGGGCGTCTCATCAGATGTGAAGAAGCGAACCTGGGCGGCGATCACAGCACGCATCAATGAGATCAGCGAGTGTCCACGTGAGGTCATCGAGATAATCAAGAAGTGGTCAGACCTCAAATGTGACACCAAACGCAAGGTCGCAGCCATGCGTGCTGGTGGGGACGGCTCACTGCGGACTGGCAACTCACGCATCGCACGGGACCTCTCACCAGTAGAAAACATGGTGTACCAGATCCTTCAGATGCCTCCCCCAGACAAGAGGGTCTTTCCTGGTGGCCGGGCCAATCTAGGGGGCATGAAGGGGGTTATGGGTAGTGGAGGCGGTGAGGATGACGAGGAGGAAGATGACATCGTGCTGGGAATGCACCAACCATCCGCTTCTACCAGTGATTCACCAAATAGCAGGCTGGCTGGTCCTTCAGTAATCCCCAATTCTCTGGGTTTAACTGTGTCCATGGCCTTACCCGCCTCCATGCCAATGTCAATGCCCATGTCCCAAAAAAGGGAGGCCAGCATGTCCGCGCCAATATACGTCACATCTCGTGAGTTAGCATTCTTCATTTTTTTCTGCCATAAATGATCTAGAGATCCCAGCGTTACAGCCTGCTGAATATTGTTCATTTATTGTTCATTTAGACGTGTCTTTCAGTCCTTTACGTGTGCTTATAAGAGACAAGAAGCTGAAAATTTCTGCACAGGGGAACCCAGGTCTAGAAGAGTGTAGCCAAATGTAACTGCATTTGACAATATTAATTCCTTATTTGTATTCATAGGTTTTTGACCATTTTTGATCCCAAATCACATTGTACTGTCACCATAATTGACATTTCTCTGACACCGTATTTACTAATTCTTTTCTCTTAATCTGTATTTCTATAGGAGACCCTCCACAGACAGCCTACGATTTTCAATATGAAATACCAGCAGCTGAAGGTAACACCCTCTCGCAGGTTTTTTTTTTTTGTTTGTTTACTTGAAACTATGTATCATTAGTGTTTATGTAGTAAGATTAAGAGAATGATTGAATATACAGTTGACCCTTCCACATTGTGGGAGTTAAAGGAGCTGGACCCCCTGCAATTTGGAAAAACCACATAAAACGTTCTGGTCCCCTTGGCGAGCGAAGCAAAGCAAAATGGTACAAGAAACGCGAGATACAACGAAGATCACTGTGAGATATCACGTGAGAGGCTGCCGTAAACACGCTATACGCTTCAGTTACTAAACGTTTTGTGTCATCTGTGCCTTTCGCAAAATAAAACAAATTCTTTTTCTTATGCTGAAACAACAATGGGGAAAGTCGCGGCTCGGCATAAATGCAGGCAACCATGCATGTATGTGTGTAATCGTGTAAATGTGAGCAGTATGAACTTACATATTCCTATCTCTCATCCTTGCCCAAGACCAGGTTGTGGAGCTGGATAACTCTGATGAAGAGCATCAAGAGCGAGTGCGACCTGCTGTATTCAGAGCAACTCCTATTCCTGTTGAGGACGAACACCTCCTGAGCAGCTTGCGCCACGCCACCACCGTTGCATCTACCTCTTCATCGCTATCTGCCACAGCTGCCCCCTGCTCAGGACCAGGGCCTGTACTAGCACCTGTACCACCACCTCCAGCTGAGTCTTTCCCAGTGTCTTCTCCGGCTCCCATGAATGCTCGGGACAGACTGGCCCAGCACGCCTCCCTCAGTGTTCAGGAGCAGCGCAACACAAACATTTTGATGGAGACGGTGTCTCGCTCCTTGGAGATGCTCTCCGAGTCGGTGCAGCAGTTGGTGGAGACGCAGCAGGAGTTCGTCCGCGACTCCTTGCGGCTACAGCGTGAGACAGTGTATATCCTTAGGGATTTCTCCACCAGCATCTTGGCAGTCATGCGTGACAAGCTGAATGGTAGGCCAGCACCTTGATGAGCAACACCCTGCAATGAGTTTTTCAGAAGTTCATCTGCTCCACAAAGTTCAGGCAGTTTCTTATACACTAAAACTATTTGATCATTGAGGTGATCCGTCAAGGTGTAAAAGTGAGAACCAGTGATGACCAGTTCTGTTGAGAGCAAGTTAAGTTGTTTGAGGAATTGGCTATAGGGTCACGAGTCAGGGTTTTATATATGAAAGATTACTTGAGTTGCTTCTCTTAGGCAGATTTGTTCTCTAATTAGTCAGTGTTACTGGATAACACAAGAGTAAATTTGATTTTTTTTTTTTTTACTTGCTGTCTGGCATTTGCACTAGACAAAATATCCAAAGCTTTGGAGAAACAACAGCCAATGGAACTTTAGTATGTTTTATTGTTGTAATAGTAGTAAACAATACTAGTAGTAAAATCACCACTTGCATTATATGTATGCACATATAGGTTAAATTATTTTGTAATTTCATTTACAGCCCTCAGATAAGTAAAAATAATTGTAAGCCACATAACTTAATTGTCCAATTTTATTTAAAATATAATTGTATGTTATTTTGCAATATTGTACAGGTTCGACGTTTGGTGGCACTTTGGCTTTCCTATATGGTTGTAAAAAAATTACTGGTACGAGTGCAAAATAATGTTTTTTTTTCTGCAGAAATAAATGAAAATATTTTGCACAGAGAATGAAATGGGAAAATGCAGTTATTTTCCATTTAGTTTTAATCAGTATCGACATACTTCTGTTACTACCTCAAAGATCTTAATATGATACATAGACAAGCCAGCTGGTTCTTCTAGTCTGATATGGCTTGAATTGTTAATTGCATTACTTAAGGATTCACATGCATTAAAACCCAGACGTGGATGTGTTCATTCAAATACATGCAAGACTCAGTACAGATAACAAGCCTCTTTTTAACTTCCCATATTTAATGGTCCTTTGGTCTCACATCATCCTCTACAAAGAGGCCACGCCTTCTAATCCCCCATTGGCCAAACTTCCTTTAAAGTACAGGTAATGCAGGACATTGTAAGATAATCTTAGTCTTCAATAAATAATAGGCAAGGCATATTGACTTGCTGGTTTGCTTTGACAGAAGCAGGAGCACACAGGCCCTAAAAAGCAAAGGACAAGGAGAACTATTTCTTGGGACACAATCCCACCTATTTTCTTGTTTGCGGCTGTCTCATCTTCCTGAATATGAATCCTGAGTAGTAAGTATTCAACATCTGGCAATGCGACTGTCTTCGATTTTTGAAACAATAAAGTCAAGGTCTGTTTTATTTGACTATGGCTGTACAGAACAATAGTGCCTATTACTGTGGTAAACTCGTTTCTCTATTAGTGCTATAAACATTTTTGAATTTAGATAGATAAAATTATAGTATAAATTAAGTAACGACCAGTTTGATTTTGATAAAAATTTCAAGCATAACTGAATTTTATTTGTATGAAGTTATTTGAAATTTGCTTGATTTGTAAGGAAGTGGCACATTAAAATGAAGTTTTTGGACTAGATTGTACTTGAAATGGCAGGACTGAAATGACATCATATTGTCCCCAGTGACTACCTGTTCAAGTTGCTGTTGATCGGTGACTCTGGTGTGGGCAAATCTTGTCTGCTCTTGCGCTTTGCGGTAGGCTAGCCACTTATTCTTATCATTCAAACTATGGAATAAACCAAAAAAGATTTTCTAATGTCTGATTTTTCCTAATGTCTGGGCAGTAAATTGTGTCTGTCAATTATTTTAAAAATAATAGGTTTAAGAATGTATTCTGAAGAATTGTATTTCAATCACAATCATTACACATGGTAAAATCGATAAATAAAAATGTTTCGGATATCACTTGTTCTGGGGCATGGTCCGTGTAGGTTTTTTCCCTCTTTTTTATGAGATATATATATATACACACACTTTAACTCTTAAATTTTTACAAAGCTGAAAGAATATAAAAGAAAAAAAATACTGTCTTTTTTAGAACCTTTAGTTTTAGCCCTATTATAGGTTATGCTAAGCAAAATGAGACACGTATGCCCAAAGACAGTGCTTCTCAACCCGGGCCACAAGGATCCCCTCCAGACAGAGCTGGGAGGGAGCAAAAATGTGGACTGTCTGATGGGAAGCTGGGAGGGAGCAAAAATGTGGACTGTCTGGGGGTCCCCAAAGACCGGGTTCAGAAACACTGCTCAAAGAAATATATCCTTTGTATGTTTTGTTTCAGGATGACACCTACACAGAAAGCTACATCAGCACTATTGGGGTGGACTTCAAAATCAGGACAATTGAACTGGAAGGAAAGACTGTCAAGTTACAGATAGTAAGGGCACAAGCGCATTGGAGTTATTCAGATGAGTTGATATTAACACTAATGTGCAGGAATGAGTATTAGGAATGAGAAATGTGTGTTAAAGCAAATATTTAATATCCTTTTGAATGTGATTTTCCGAATGTCTGCAAAGTCCATGAAACAACACAGGAGATTTTCTGTCTTTCTGTAGTGGGACACAGCTGGGCAAGAGAGATTTCGAACTATCACATCAAGCTATTACAGAGGTGCTCACGGGATCATCATCGTTTATGATGTCACAGACCAGGTTATATGCTTGCCTTGCTATACAGATGGAGACAATCAATGCATTGATGCACAGGAACATGTCAGGCTTTTCATAAGTACAATACAGTAGATTTGTTTTGCGAACTGTTATGTATATCCAAAAATGTTACTAATGAATACTTTTTTTGTAGGAGTCATTCAACAATATAAAGCAATGGTTGCAGGAAATTGATCGTTATGCCTGTGAAAATGTCTCCAAGTTGCTGGTGGGGAACAAATGTGACTTAGCTTCTAAAAAAGTGGTGGACTTCACCACTGGAAAGGTACTAAGACGATGTGTTATTGAATCTATGTCATTCTGTGGATTATGAGGTCACCTATTCCTTTTGCTCTCTCTCTCTCATGTTCATTTCAGGAGTTTGCCATGTCCCTTCAGATCCCATTCCTGGAAACCAGTGCAAAAACTGCAAACAATGTGGAAAAGGCCTTCCTTACCATGGCTGCTGAAATTCAGAAGCGCGTTGCCAGTGATACTGTCCAAAATGAAGCAAGCAAAGTTGGCACAAAAATAAACAGTGCCCCCTTGTGGAATGCAGGGGGAAAGACAAAAACCGAAGAATCCAGCTCTTGTTGCTAACGATAAAGTTAGAAAGCACTGTAATTCATCAGTCGGTCTTCTAAACTCTTATCCTGGCCAGTTTTGTGGGAAACAATATAATGATATTAGTAAAATTAATTCTATCCATGCAAGTATATAACAGTTACACTTTCTGTCCGTCTTCTACATTCAATGCCGCTTAAAAATAAATGTCTTATCAATGCCAATATTGTGCCCCATTCTGACTTTTCCTCTAGAATTTTATTTTTTAAACAGCTTATTAATGTAAGAACTCTATCATTTTTGTGTAAAGTGCATTTTGTGCATGCATTAAAATGTAATATATTGTATTCTTCTCTGGAAATAAAGCTTTCCTCTAATCAAATCGTAACTATTTTATTGATCTGTCATCACTTATCTGTTCCAGTTCCAATATTCCAGAAACATAACACATTATGGAAAAGACAAAATGGCCATAGAATACTGAAGGAAGTGTCTCATGTTCATTATTCTTTTCTTCTATTGCATCAACTGAATTTTTGCATTGGTGGATCAGCAGATAGTGGTGTAGATGCTCTATTAACCTCCATGCTGAAATTCTCTCTTTGCCTACCCCATCTTGCTCTCCATGAGACACAGGGACACAAATACAGGTGTGAGCAAGCTTTTTGGGGGTTACAGCACAGGTTCAGTCAGCATGCAGGGTCCCTGGAGAGCAGAGGTGGACATTTCAGGTCCAGAAAGTAAAAATCCAAACCAGGATTTTGTTTCAACCAACCAGTTGAGCATAAAGAGTCACAGTCACAGAGTACTCAGCTGGTTGGTTGAAACGAAATCCGGGTTTGGATTTGTACTTGCTGCACCTGAAATGTGCGCCTCTGCTGGAGAGTAGGGGGTTAAGGGCCTTAGTTAAGGGCCCACAGACACGTAACTATTTTGCTGAGGCTGGGGCTCGAACCGGTGACCGCTTACCCACACATCACCCCCGAGTATATAACTTAGTGGCCTGTTGATCTTGGGGGTACATATTAGCATATTAGTATAGTCTTGGAATTATTATTTTTTTCCTTATAGCTATATGACAAGTTCATCAAGGCCTTGTATTATCTGGGTTTGAAGGTTGCTGGGGGGGGGGGGGGGGGGGGGGAGAGAGTGGGAGCCGCTTTGTGCCCATACTTCCCAAGATAGTGATCCTGCACAGTACAAGAAGTACAGACAATAGGTGGACGGGTGGATGTTTAATATTGGCGCTCCCTGAGACCTCCCATTTCTTCATGATGGAAAACTACCTTTGGGTATGACTGTTCTGGAGAGAGATAAAGAGACAGAGAAACAGACGGACAGACAGAAATAGTGATGGAGAGAGACAGAGAGTGACAGAGAGACATTGTTTTGGAATGATTTAAACAGTGCTGTGCACATATGTGTTCCTGTGAGTTTTGCTTGAAAATTCAGTTTCCTTCTATGATGATGGTGAATTCAAGTCTCTAACAGAAATTTACATTAACCTGTTTCTTGTGTCAGCTGATTGAAAGCCATGAATACGTTTCTTACCTAGAAATCATCATATCTTGTATGCATGGTCAGCGTCTTCAGCAGCTATATGACATGCTAAATGTAAAGATGTACATTTAAGTCTGCAAATATAAATCCTTCGTCAACATATTGGGTTGAAACTGAAGATAATTCCTTCATGTTCAGGCTAATAGTTTTATAGTTGCTGAATTTATAAAATTAAGGAATGACAGGCAGCCCACATTGTGTCCTCTGAGTCCTACCTTGGTGTGTGTGGAGTTTAGATCTTCTCCCTCTTCTTCAATGACTCTGAATTCCTCCCGCAGTACGAAAAAATCTATATTTTGCTCAATTGAGGGGCGGATTAGAAACATAAAGCAGCCACTGACTTGGGGGGGGGTTATTCCCCATTGGTATATAATAAAGCATTACCCATCAATCCTCTCCTGCAGCTGACCTGCAAACACGCCAAGATAGACAGACAGAGAGGGCATTCCTGGTATATTGGCTTTATAATGCTGGGGCTGGGGAAGAAAGACTGGCCCTCATAAGACTGGCCCACCGGGAAAATTTCCAAACCTCCAGATGGCCAATCCTTGCCTGGGTTGATTGGTGTCTGCCATTGAATTCCATCCCGGATGTCCGGCCTTGTGCGTCCTGGGACCTGCTCCAGGCTCTCCGTCACGCTTTACTGAAATGGAGGCTATGGAAAATTGAATCTATAAAATTACTCGGGCAAATACTCACCATGAGTTTGGTTCTGTTTATTTGCCCGTGGTTTTTGACACTTAGCTTTTAATATAAACTGCTTTTCCATTTTACAAAAAGCTTATCAATAGAAAATATTTTATTGTAAAATGTTACTTTAATATGAATGTTTCACTTTCACCAAATTACAAAGGAATTAACACTTTTAGAATAGAATAGAATTAGAATTCAACTTTTGGTTATGTTTTATAATTTTCCTGTATATAACTATAAAGTACAAGGCCAGCAAAATCTGGCATGCTCTTGTCTTCCATATATAAGTTCTTGCAAACACATTTGTCACCGATTTAGGAAATAAAATTAAATATAAAAAAATGTAAAAAATAATGTAGGCCTACTGAGGAGGCCTGCATCAAGAGCACCTTAATCACCCTAGCAAAATGAGTTTCAATGTGGAAAAAGTTTTTATTAGTGAAAGCTCTTTAAATTGTAACGAATTAGGATTAAATTAGATTGTAGACTGTAACAGGATCCTAGTATCTAGCCGCAGCACATTTCAAATTATAAACAATGTAGTCTACCTGTAGGTTTCTATCTTATTATTTTAAATAGCTGTTGTATCTTTAAATATTTTAGACAATTGACCTTACATGCTATGGCAACTTCAGCATGCTTTCGAAGGTCGACGGTATCTTAGACGTTATTGGAGAGAAAAATGTAAATCCCGCCCCAAATGGCGTAATTGCTTCACCATAGGACGCTCATTCCTCACTTTAATAGTCTGTCAAAACGGCACTATCCAATCAGCGCCCTTTGTCCTTTTCACTCTCATTGCTGGTTCCGGCTCTAGTAGATTCAAGATGTCGGCGGTGTCAGTGTTTCCCATGTGTGTCCGAGCGACTCGCGGCCTCCTCAGGCTGAGGACCGAAATTAGAGCTGGTCGTAGTACCGCGGTGTCAGTCCTGACAAGAGCCTTATCCTCGGCCCCTTCGACTGGAGAACAGAACAATGCTGCTGAAGGACTGACGCAAGCCATATTACAGGATAGGCTTCTGCAACAGCAGAAAAGTCTGGTAAATGGCTAGCTAACAGCTATCGAACCTTCTGTTTCATATGCAGTCGTTTTGTCTGTTTCTATTATCTAGGGGAAACTTTTGTAGCAGTAAGTGGTCATTTTGTTACAAATAGTAACAATGTATCATATCAGGATGCCGCGTGCTGTTGGCAGTAACTACCCACTGACATAACATGACTGACATAACTGATAAATTCACCGGTACGGCTGTTATGTCCATTGATTTGCGCGTTATCTATCGGCTGGCCTAGGAGCTGCCGTGTCGAATATCAAAATATACTTTATTTATGACAACAATGTTTTATGGAATTACCTGCGTGTAAATGTTTATTCACGCAATATTCTCGTTATAACTCAAAATCAGGGAGAATAATGATTCCTTAAAGCAGTAATACATGCTGAATGTATTTCTTGTAGTTTTTCTATAACAGTTGCGTAATATAGCAAAGTAGGACTGTTTGACATTATTGCTTATTTGAATAACGTGGGTTGAAATTGTTACTTAAGTTTAATTTGCAATAATTTCTTGCTCAGTCCTATGGCATACTGTACATATTAATAAATAAATACACATGTTAAATGTTTTCAGATATTCTTGACATGTTTTTGTCATGATACCTGATTAAGAATATCTAAAAATTAATATACATGCATCTAGAGTCTGTGTTTATTTCATGACGCTAGACAAACACTGCTGCATTAATAGGTGAATGTAGCTCAATGGCAGGGAGCATAGGAAAAAGTGATTTACAGTCGGACTGGGCAATCAAGCAGATTTTAATTTCAAAGAAGATTATCGAATTATCAAACGATTATCAAAACAGAATAATCAAGACAAAACAATTGTTGTGCTGCATTTCATTTCATAATGATGCTTCTGTTTTGTATGGTGTTATAAATCCAGAACACCCCTTTCCAGCACCGTTTTGTTTGTTTCTAAGTTGAATTCTCAGTTGTTTCTCAGTTTATACCCTGTTTAAAAGACAAGTTTGTTTGTTTTTTAAAAATAAATAAAAGTTCATTAAGTCTAGTATGATATTTCCAAAGTCAGCGAGTAATTGTGTTAATTATGATCAGTGTTGACCAAAATAATCGTGATTATGATTTTTTCCCCATAATTGATCAGCCCTTATTTAGAGTACATCCAACAGTCTTCTTGTGTTGGTGGGAGGGGGCATGGAGTCTATAGGGCACAAGGCAGAGGTACAACTTGGCAGGATGTCAGGTCCCTCACAGGGCACAATGGGTAGAACAGGGATGTCAGGTAGCCTAACTGCATGTCTTAGGACTGCAGGCAGAAACCGGAGCACCCAGAGTACATCCCTGTGAAGTGGGAGAGCGTGCAAACTCCAATTTATGTACAGGGCTCAAATAAGAACATATGGTTTTCTGGATAATATTATAATATTAACATGAACTTGTTATTGCATCTGAAGTAATACAGATGTAAAAGTTTTACCGCAACAGTTTTGTGTTTGAATGGATTGCAGGGCCAGCCTTTGAAGGAGGCAGATGGAAACAGGGACTATAACCAGGACCAAGGCAACGAAAAGAAGCAAAAGGAACAGGCAGCCTATACCAAAAAGATTTTGCTGAGACTGGCTGGTATTATGGGACTGGGTGGCACGATGACTGTAGTGTACATATTCGGTACGTATCTCAATTCTCTTTCAGACTTTTTTTTTCTTCTCAAAGATACCATATTGTATATCTACACTATATATTCAATTGTGACTTCAGTTCTTGATTTCTTGATGCCGTAGAATATAGATTCTGCATGTTTAATCCTAGTGTAAAGAGAAGTAAATTCAAAGCCATATTTCATCTGTGTAATTTCTGGAGAAGTCTTGTGGGAGATTTAAAGGCTCTTACACAGCCTAGCCTCCATCTAAAAGTATTTGGGTTGGACATGATGGTTAATTCAGGTTGGGTTGGAGGCAATGAATATTATACTGAGCATTTAAAAGAACACAAAAAATAAGCTGTGTAATAGTTATGAGGATAAGGAACACTCAACATGCACTGTCTGGCTAAAATGAAGTCACCATTTCAATTTAAATCAGCAAGTACTTAAGAGCAAATGATTGGATCATTATTACAGCTCAGCAACGTTATGCAGTGATAAAGTGAATCTACTGAACGGCCAGGTTACACCTCCATCCATCAGCAATGGATTTTTTTCTTTCCTGATGGCATATTCCAGAACGAGAATGCCAAGATTAATCCGGCTTGAATTGTCAAAGAGTTTATTGAAAGTCTGAAGGAGACTTTACGGAGTGGTTCAACTCGCCTATCATCAGTACAAGATTTCAATAAGAAATGAATGCAAATCTGGATGGAAAAAATGTTGAGATGTCGCATAAGCTACGTGAAAGCAATGCATTGACGAATGTGCGCCTTAATCAAAGCTAAAAGCGGTCCAGGCAGTGTAGATGGCTGCAAACGCATGTACAGCGTGCGTTATGACTGAAGGGAAATACCTCCACTACCAGTCAAAGGTTTTTGCACACACTGACATTTTCTTCATTTGCATGTTACTTAACATTTACTAAAAATAGACTCAATTGTCTTTGCTAACAAATTTATAGTATGTTCACCGTTTGAGTACCTTTATTAGCAAGAAAATGTCATGTTTTTGATTAATCAAAGCAGTTACGTGGTGTGCAAAAACTTTTGACTGGTAGTGTATGTAGCTAATTTAAAGTTATGGAGTTTCATCTCTAGAATGTTTGCCACTAACTTTTTTTCCATCTTATTTTTTTTTTTTTTATAGGCAGCAATTCAGTCGACGAACAAGGAAACAAGGTACCTTTATCAGGAAATGTTTCTTTCAGATATACTAGGATCCTTTGTATTTGGCAGTTCAATTCACATATCATTAATGTGAAACTAAGAGTAAAATATACATAGTCCTCCATATGACATGGGTACAACCTAATCATCATTTTCCTGTTTGCCCCCCCCCCTAGTTTTACGGCCGGCACACTTCTGGGGCTCTCGGTCTGATCTTCACCACACTTCACACATTCATACCGGGTCTTTTGTAACCTAGGTGCGGAACACTCCACACTTCACGTTCCCTTGCTGAATACTTCCACGCTGCCACGTCGCTCACTTTATTACCCGAGTCACTTTGTAGTGTGGATGGGCTGAGACATCAAAGGGCGCAGCCTGCGGGCCCATGCGAGAGTGTGACCCAGTCGGGGGTGTGCAGGCGCACAGCTCGTCCTTCGGATTGAGGATGCAGCCTAATTGGATGTCAGTAGGTGTCATTGTGAGAACAGACCCGGAGCGCTGCTCTCGTTTTTGTTCTGTGCTGCGTTTTGCTCTGAATTGTCGAGAGCAGAAAGTTCAACGGGAACAGAAAGGGACAAGCTGTACGTGAAAAGTTTATCGATACAGTGACTTTGTAAAAGTTTTTACCACCCTTGGTGTCGCAAGGAAGGATTAAAATATGTAAATTGAATTTGTGTAGCTAGTTTCTAAATGAAAGTATTTACGATTTTAGAATTTTATTAGAAATGAAAGCTAACTGTTCAGCCCCTTGTGAATACTTGCTCTCACCTGTATATGCGACTGGGTGTCTCATGGGGAGCAAGATTGCGTAGGCGAAAAGACGATTTTCCCGTGGGGGTCAATAAAGTATCATTATTCTGTATTGTGTAAGACTAAATTTTGGCTGTGCCTGTTCCATTTTTTGAGAGATCAAGAAATTGAACAAGGTCGATCTGTTTTGATTTCAAATTCACCTGTTTTAAGTAGCAGTGGAGAAATAAATAATATTGGCTTTGAAGTCTCACTGATCCAGGACATGATGTCAGTCACATTGTCAGGGCTAATGAGCTGCCTGTGGAACTTAGGCAGAATTTGTAGAGCATTATAAAAGGACTGGTGAAGACCCCTGAAGCACAACTAAGTTTCTACAAAATAAGGAAAAATGATACGAGTATGATACTGGCATGCTCCCGAATGAAGCAACTGGGTGAGATGGAAAGATGCTACTGGAATGGGAAGTACTGTCCAGAGGTCAGCAACTATACTGGTCTAGCCACGTGAAAAGTGGCGGGATAGAACCAGTTTTGAGAAAAGCCAGCGTTTTAAAGGAGATCTTGGGATTGCCAAAAGCCACGTGAAACCTTGAAGAACCTCTTGTCCAGAAGTGTAGCGCTAAATCCAGCACAGAGGAAGCATAGCTTCACCCTCCTTCTCCTGAAAGCTTGTCATGCTAGATTGGTGTTTGTCAACAGGAAAGACTGAGAAGCTTCTTGCTGTCAAGAGCTGGATGTACATGAAGTTCATTTGAACATGCAGGACAATTTTTGGAAGAGAACCTGTCTTGTCAGCAGGAGTTTTGCATTAAGAACAGTGCTTCAGCAGGACATTGGTTTAAATGGCAACCACCAAAAAGGGATGACTTAAAACACGAGGTTGGTTTGATATCCCAGCCAAAGCTCGTGCATAAATTCTGTTATTTTTATTATACCTAAAAAATTGCTATATTCTGTGGTCTTCACTCTAGGTTTGCAGGGGATTTTTTATCGTAATTTTGTTGATTGTGTTGGTGATTCATTCCATGCATTCAGATGGTGAAATGTAATGGTTTAAGGTAGGTTCTCAAGGTACTATCGTATATTTAACTTGATCTGAGATAAGGAACCTTGTATTAGTCCATCAATTAGGTGCTGACAATTTCTGAGTTGTACTTCAAATACTACAGTCGGTATGTGACAGTGGTGGCCTAATGGTTAGGCAACTGCACTTGTAATTGAAAGATTGGTGGTTTGAATCGCCGACCGTCTCTAAGGTTCCCTGAGCAAGGTACCGCCCCCAAGCACTGCTCCCCGGGTGCTGAATTAGCTGCCCCCTGTTATGTCACGATGTCACATATGGGTTAAATACAGAGGACACATTTCGTTGTTGTGTACTGTGGTGTGTCAACAATGACCACTGATTGCCAAATTCTAATTCTAATCATCATCAGATACCTGATGCTTGGGTACCTTAGACCCAGCAGATTTGTTGGGGCATCACACAGGAACCAGAAACACCCACTCTATCCTCCTCTTAGCATTCATTTCTGGGTACATTGTTTTTTCATTGAGCGCTGACATGGCAAATGATGAAGGAAAAAAATTTGAAATTTTGCATTTCTTATGAATAGGATTTATTGGGTTAATTTATGTTGTATGATTATAGCTATATATATATTTTATATATTTCACTGTGTAGTGAATTTATATGTAAGTGGCACCCAAACCTTCCTATGGATGCTGACATAAATTCATTAACTATGATGTTATATTTGCTGCTCTATTTGATTTATAGTAATAATCTGTTTTTCCCCCTTAAATTTATGGGGCAGATGTAGTTACAAATCCTCCCCAGTAGATGGCATGAAAAACAAAAAAAAAAAGGTAATCTAACTTTTCTGAAAGAGTGGCTTTAGAATCATCATGATTCATGTGATTACAACATAACCATTACAAAATCTCATATTCTGATCCAAGTTTAGCATTTTGTAGGTGGCAGGAAGCCCCAAGCCAACAAGCATGATTGCAGGCAGGGTTTCCGTTCTCATCACTTGTTTGATGTACTTTTGAAGTTTGTCTCAGTGTTCCATAAGTTCATGTTGCATACACTGACCTGTTCCCCATCAGATCTTTATATTCTCTCAACTAGTCTTCAGCTTTGAACTTCACTACAATACTCTTCCTTCCTATTGCATTTAAAAAAAAAAAAAAAAAGCTAATACAAACATTGTATATCTAATTTTAATTAAAAAAAAATATAAGTGGCAATCTGGCGGTGTAGGTCCAGGTGTAATACCTCTGCTGGGCTTATTTCACTGACATTAACAGGTATGAAGAATCTGCTCCTAGTTTGGCCGGATCTTGTAGTTTTGCTCTTTTGTGTGACGTGAAGAATCCTGCTGCCATTTAGTTCAGGATACAGTTTCTGCTTCCTGCCTGTTTTGAATTGGGGCAAAACTGTAAATTGCCTGCAAATGGCATGAATTTTAAATGGGGATTCTGCTTTGTGTGCTTATGACGCTCCACCTGAAAATACCTGTGACTGCTGCTGTTTACTTAGTCCTGTTGGCTTTAAACAGTGAAGTCAGTCATGTTCGGTTTACAGTAATGAGCTCTTTTTGCAGTGCACTGTGAAACGATCTCCTACACTCCTGTTAGCAAGCTAATATTCTGCTGACACATCTCGAGGTTCTCTGAATCGGAATTGCATAACTCCTACAGTTTGAACTAGAAACAGACTAATTCTCACTGTACTGTTGCGACATTAGTAAGTATGTGACTATGCCCTCCGCTGTTCTGTTATTTGCATGTTTACCTTGAATAATTACTTTTTAACTATCATAGTTTTCAATACATCTAATACAATTGCAATGAACTATAGCTGCACTTCTCATACATACAGAAGTAACATTGTTTTTCTTTTTAGTTATACTAGCCTATGCAAAATTGAGTATGATTGAATTGAATGACATTCAGATAGAAGTCACCTGAAAAAAAAGCCCTACATGAATTCAGTTCAGTAAGTGATCAGTTTATTTTTAAATGTGGTAGTACTAATGTTCTTCAGAAACTGATCGTTTCCCATAAATTCTCTGGTTGCTTAATGAGTGTTAAGGGAAGGAGAAGTAGACAGCAGGTCGTGTTTATGTTAGATTAGATGATCAATGTTGATCTCAGGGGAAATTCTTAAATACGGAATGCTTCACGAATTTGTATGTCATCTCTGAAGGGGTAATACTTATCTTCTCTTTACCATTCCAATTGAGCCAAAGTTGTTCCACATCTGCTTTGTTTCCAGTAATTTCATCTGCATTCCATATGTTTTTATTTTTTCTCTTCCAAATTGTTTCCAAACTCTCCAGTTTCATATTTGGAGTCCAGGGCTAGCCTCCGATCTGCCAGCAGATGGCAGTGGGCTGTTTCACCCTTTATCACGTACCTTACATGAAGGCACATACCTGTAGACACGTGGCTTTGCAAAATATAATTGTGATAAAACTTGACTGGGTGCATTTACTTAAGAAAGGCTGAGAAATATCTTAAGTCTGACTTAATTCTTGATTTGTTATTACAGATGGAATTTCCTGCATGGGAATGCAAATTTAAGGACCAATTTTTGATTCCTTTATTTAGAAATCCCAAGCTCCATGCATTCCATTTTCAAAATTTTGTTTACTGAAACCCATTACTAAGTAGGAGTAATGTTTAACTCAGAAAAAAGTGATTATCACACACTTGGCACAAGCGCTCTTTTCTGTAGATTTTTTTTTTTTTTGGATTGTGCAAGAAGTTCTGTGTAAAATGTGTGTTTGGTCTAATGACTCAAGATCAGAAGTTGTATATACATGCACACACACACACACACACACAGACACTGTGTAAAACTATATACTGATAGTGTACACATGTAGTGTCTTAAGTGTATAAACTATGTTTGATCTGTATCATTCATTTCCAGTGTTGGTATTAACGTGTTACTGAAATTCCACTACTTTTGGCAGTAACGAGTAATGTAACTATCTTTTCAAATTAAATAACGTAATTAAAAGTACTGAAATTTTAAATGGGCTCGTTACTAAGGTTTTGCGTGAAAATGTTAATGGACAAATGCAGCCTATTTTCCTGTTTATGATCTAACGTCATCCGACTATATGGGGGCACGCATTGAATGGCTGATATTAGGTACAGTGATGGATAAAACTTGACAGTTTTTTTTTATTATTATTATTGTCTCGCACTGCTACAGCAGCAACACTGAAATAATATAACTACCCAGATAGCACACATCGCTACCAGATATTGATGCAACATTCCCCAAATGCTGTTGTATTTCAACAGCAACACAATGTTAATGACATCACTATGTTTAGCCCACTGTTATTTTCCCATTAGGGTATATAGCCCACAATAGGGGTATACTGTATTTATTTATGTACTATACCCTGCATGTAGACAAATTGTTTTAAAACCATATAGCTTACCACACAAACAATATAGCTGATTAAAAGTTATAGGTTTATTTTAAATATTGGCAACGTGACAGAAATGTTTACAATAGGCCAAACATTTATGCTGAACTGATTGTTTTCAATCATTTTATTGTACCGTTCTGGTAAATTAAAACTTCACATTAACTTATTTTATAATTTAAATATGATTAATAGACCTAAATGTAAAGCGATCGAAGTTCTGATTTTAAACCAGTGTCCCTTCAATGTATGTGTGCTGTCTGGGAATTAATAAGAGAATTTAAGTAAATCAAATGTTACTTGTTAATTGCAACTAATTAGTTATATATGTAGTAATTGCCAAAGTAAGTAAAGTACTTTTGAATGAAATAAGTAATAGTTTTAAATTTTTGTTTAATTTCCCATTTCATTATTGTGTTTGGTCCTCTTAATTACATAATAGTGGAAAAATAGAATAAGTTTCTCAGTTTTAAGTACATTTTAAACCAAATATTATAGAACGAATCGTCCCCTTGTGTGTGTGAGCATGATTTAGAATGAGAACTCTTGTACTACAACAGAAGAGTGGCAGTTTTTTTTGTCTTTAAAAATAAGCGACTCCAGCCAGCATTACAGCATCTGTCTGACTCATCTGAAAGTCAAATCATGTTTTCAAGACATTTAAACTCATTCAGTATCTTAAATATGCTTTCCTGTTTAGGAATAAAAATTGCTGACTTTGCATATTCATTTGTAGATAGAAATAAAATTTTTATAATTTAAGTGTGTGTGTGTGTGTGTGTGTTTTGGGGTGGGTCCTGATCATGCTTCTCCCAAAAAAATGTCCCCCCTCCAGCATGTGGCATTCAGTGGGGGGGGGAGTACTGACCCCCCCCCCCCCATCTTTCCAGCAGATCCCCAGGTGGGCCTGAGACCTGCTGGCAGATGTAGCTGAATATTCATCAGCTGAGAGATTAATTTGACTGGTAATTGGTGGGAGATCGCTGTGGATGGTGGAGACGTGTGAATGTGCAGACTGGAGGCGGAGCTGCAGAGGTCTGCACGCGAATGCATGAGAACATAAAGGGGCACCGTATGGCCTGTCCTCTCCCCCAACAATACAGGCAGTCCGCTCTGCCCTATAACCATCATGCACTCCAGCAATGTACTGCGTGCCAGAATCTCTGCTAGAAAATATCTTGACTGCTTAACTTTATTAGAAAAAGATTCTTACAGAGTTTCTGCTGGTGTGAATTGGGTTATGTATCCCAGTTTGCTTCCTTTTCTAGTCGAAATTCACACACACTAACAGCAGCATTTGTAAATAGATCTTTGTCTGGCATCTACAAATGAATTGTTTGAATTATGATGCCATTTTTCTGTCAACAGTTTGCATTAAGGTTTTGACATAAATGGATTTGGGTATTTTCCTTCAGTGGCCAGTTAAAACTATGTTTTAGCTAAATCTAATTTATAGTGCCAAAGTACAGTTTGCAAAGTTGGGAACATTAAAGCATAGGTTCAATTCTCACATTCTTTCTTTTTTTTTTTTTTTTTTTTTTTTTGCAGATTCCAGATGAATTTGACAATGGTGAGTACAGTTTTTATAAATGCGATTTAAATGGTTTATACATAAAACTTTTGCATGATTTACCTGTTGTGAGTCCGTGTTAAATATCCAGGCTGCACAGATGAAATGATCTATGAAGTAGATGTCATGTTGATGTTTGGGAGCATGACTCTGCTCGTTTGTCACGGCCTGACAGTGCGGGTATTCAGAACATTAAAAAAAAAACAAAACATAAAGCAACTTCTGCCTCGTACTCAGCGCCTGTATGTTAATATTTTCTGGCAGTGTTCGACCAGTCCACCCGCCCCATTACCATGTCTATAGTACCCCGATATGCGCCCCCTTGACCGCAGATGAGCCACCTTCTGTCCTGCCTGTGTCCTTGTGGCCTTGTCAGTGGTGCTGAAGATACATTGAGCTGTTGAGTTGCCACCCTGTACCCTGTCCTCTGCCCGTACCAACAAGATGCCAACTACGGCATCAATGGCCAAAGCTCACCCTGTCCTCAAGTGTACCCTATCTGAACTCCACTGTCACCTGTCTTTTTTTTTGGGGGGGGCGGAATAGATAAGGTGGATGGAGGTAGATGAGATAATGTTATTTTTGGACAACACTGGTGTTTTGTCTACAGGTGAAAGACGATTATGATAGAATCTTGAGTGACTAAAGATACGGATGAAAGAAGTTTAACTATAGAAGTTAAAGAATATACTATATTCCAGATTGTTTGTTTACTTATGTAAGCTTTAAGTAGGTTTTGTGGATATCTATGTGTGGAAGTATTACATAAACAGCATACATAATATATGTTACTTACACATATTTTTTTGCATACTTGCACTCATGTTTTAACCAATCAGCCTTCCCTGAGTCTGCTTCCAGGTCGTGGGTCAGGACATTCTAGATACTTTTACTGAGTTTGGGTAATGTGCAGTCATTCTGTCTTTCCATACCTACAGCACATTGCTGTCGGGTGACGAACGCCAGCCCAGACGCCTTCCTGCTTCAGATGGTGTTATCAGTGCAGCATATAATCTGCTCAGCCAGACAAGCCTGTATTTCTGTACGTTAATGATAGGATGCATTCGCTTGAGCCGTAGGTGTCATTGACAACCGAGGATGAGCGACCAGTCTGTATAAGTGCCTTCTCTGTATAATAGGTGGAATTGCACTCCAAGACAAGTAGGAACCTCCTCTTGAAGGCCTCTTACAGTCATTATTTTATTCCCTTTGTGTGTGTGTGGGGGGGCATGTTTCCCTTTTGAAGATGGCCACCATGCCTTTTATTAAATATGAGCCAGATTGTGGAATGTTCTTAAGCACTTATAACTGCATTTTGTGAGTGGAGCTGATGAGAGTAGGAAGACTGATGAAATGGGAGGGCAGTGGGAATAATGGTCGTGGGGGTGGGATACCAGTGTTAATCCCCTTCCCCTTTTGAAAGACAGCTGTATCAATTAATTACAGTTTATTTAAAATGAGAAGCAGTCTTCTAAATACTGAGCAGTCTGGCTGTTGTATGATAATCATAATTAATTCCACCCTTCCCTGATGCTCTAAGTAGATTTATTACCTTAGGGGCCAGAGTAATGCTGTCCAGCACTAATGGACTAACAATGTTTAATATTGTAATAAAGGATATGAATGACCTTAGGAACCGGGTTGAAATTTGCAGCCCTCATGGGAAAGGGGAGACGGGTTTAGGGCCTGGGCTGCCCCTCCTGTCTTTCACATTTGCTAGCAGACGGCTGGTGAGGCTGCCGTCCGAGCGTGATTGGGGTTTGTGGATCTCCTTAGGGAGCCCCATTAATGAGTGCAGTATGCAAACAGGAGATTGTCGTGTTCCCACACCAAGTAATGGCATTTAAAGTGATTTAGGGTGCCAGCACTGGCTCGAGCGTAGATGGCAGATGCTCCACCACGTCCCTTCTGTCGTTTGACCCCGAGAGTACGTTCCGCTACCTCTGCAGTTGTTTCAGAGCTGTGCGTCCCGCGGGTCAGACTTTTTGGTTCTGGTATAATCAATTGGATTGTGAGTGTGGATCATTTAGTTACCGATACCCATCTGGGATCTCCGACAGATCCAACACTTGTATACTTAAAGAACTAAAAAGTTTATTTCGCGCACAGGTTGTGAATAATTTGCCACTTCTTCATTGACTTATTCTGTGAAGATGGGAATCGGATCTGAGACACCTCAGAACAAACGAGCACTGTAAATCGCTTATTGTCCCTAAACGGTACTATAACGGAAGGATGAGGGTCCACCTACAAATCCACCGATTAAGGAGGTGATTGCTCGTTTTACTAAGAAGAGACAGGCTCACAACATGCAAAAAGACAAGAATCTAAAAGAACGGAGAATGAAAGGCAAGCAAGTAATAATGGCCTTTGGCAAACAACGCAAGCATATGTCTCCCCAGCAGAGGATGAAAGGGGCGCCTTTGTTTTGTCCAGAGGTCCTGCCTATCGATCTGCTTGCCCCCCTCCCATGTCCAAATATGCACACTCGAAATTTTAATGCACTGGATGGACATTACAAAGTATAGCATAGATTAAACAACGGAGACCAGCTTTTTCCGTACACTGACCTAAACAAGATTATGATGATATGCCAAAGAAAATGGAAGCAGATTTCTCTGCCCCTGATTCTCCATTCCTTCTTCATGTTTACTCTGATAGAATACTGCATAATGACTTCCTGTACTGCACTTTTAAAAACTATTTCATCTATTTTTCTAAAACCAAGCACTTAACCTTATGTTTACTTTACACTGACTTAGTCAGAGGCTGAGAGTTTACAGTGCAAGTTCCGGTTTCTAATGAGCTAGTTCCTATATCAGAAACCCTTATCCTAAATTATCTGGGAACATACAATCTGTTTATTATGGACAAAGCATGAAATCAAATGTTCCTGAAAAAATGTATTGAAAACGTAACTTTCAGGTACAAAACGCTTTGTTGTTCTTGCGTCCCATTTGATGTTTTGTCTCCGTGGGTATCATCCTGCACTAACGCTGTTAGCCTGCTCTTGGAACCCCCCCCCAGAAGGATCCCTACATACAGGGGGCTGCTTGTCGACGTGACCCGCAGCTGTGCTCGTGCTGCTAGCCTCCCCTCCTCGTGCTCTCGGCTCTCGTCTATTACCATAACAAACAAGAGGACAGCCTGCCACAAACTGTCCCAGCTTGACCTTTCCCCGAGTCTCCCGACGTCGTCCTTTCAGCTGAAGGCATCAATAGCTGCAGCCGGCCTGGACGCCGCGCTTCCTAATCTCGTGGGAGGCCGTATTTACCTCCCTGGTCACAGTCACACGCTCCCCAGCACGCTTAGCCGTGAAAGAAATAGATTACGAATAATCAAACTCTGGGACGGGGGTGTCTCTGGGGAGTTTAACCAGTGCACATTGTTCTGCAGCCTGCAGAGCCGGCTGGCAGGTTAAAACAACAGGAACTGAGGCAGGCTTAAGTGTAGCTACCCATCGATGGGAGTTGCCTGGATTTTATTATTTGATTTTTCCACAGTAAAATTAACCATTTTAAATTAAGTCGATTAGCTGTTGTCGGCTTTATTAAATAGTTGAGGATTGCGTGCTTTATGAAATCATCATTGCTTGGTGCTGTGTGGATGAAAATGCTATTATAATAGTTGTCTGTGTTAAACATTTTGTTTCATGATACTTTTTTGCTTTTCTGTAGATGTTGTAGTAATTCAGCAACTGAAAAGGACCTTCAAGTATTTCAAAGATTACAGACAGGTTAGTAATCTTAAATGTAGGGGTATGATCAGCTTGCACACATGCTACGAGAGATGCTATATAAAAACTCTGGGGAAAAAAAAATTGAGATCACTACATATTTTTTTTTTTAAATCTGCATTTTTGAATCCTGGTTTAATGCTGGTTCTGCTGGCAGAAGGCGACACTGAGCAGCAGGTTGTTTCCGTGGTAAAACTTTCTAAGATGGAAATACACAAGAACAAGGTGAGGCAGGAGACACCGGGAACAACCAGACACTAGCCAGGGAAAGGGCGGAAGCGACTTTCTAATGCCAGGGGTGACTGTCAACTTATCCAACAATGCCCCTTGAATCGGAGGATGACATCGTGACCTTCAATGGAAAAATGTAGTGGTGTGGACAGTTTGTAACAGCATCCTAGAAGCAGCACTGAAGTCCCATGAAGCATGGAAGAAGCCTTCATCAATGAGAAACCGAGAAGAATCAGGCTGCAGTTTGCAAAAAATGTGTATTTTACACAGAAACACACCCATAAATTGAAATAAGTGAAACTGAAAATGTTGCTTTGGTCTGTTAATTTTTTCCAGAGGTGTAGACATCTGTTTAGCGTGTGTGTTTTTTTTTCCATTTGTTTCTCATTACTGAATATTCCTGTAATAAATTTTGGTTGACATTCTGAAGCAGACTTGTCCAGACAGACAAGGTTTTGGGCAGGTGTGAGACGTGCATCACAGCCTCTTCAGATTAGACCAGCTGCCATTTAGCTGAAGTGCCCCACCCTGTTCAAACTCCCCACTACCCTCTCATTCAGCTTAAACAATTTCAAACTAATTTCAAAAATTAGCCTCTTGAGACTAGCGGTCTATTTTAACACTACAGTGATGTACCGCATAATGATATTTCGGTCAATGATGGGCCATATATACGACGGTGGTCCCTCGTGATGTCACGGCGCAACACATTATACGTGTTTGTGGTGATTCTTGTGTAAATAAACCTACTGTACTTACAAAAGTATAGCACATACAATTATTTACAGTACACCCACTGTCTAGGTTATATTGGGGTTACAATCTGATAAACTTATCGTAAGACGGAAATATCTTGAGGCGAAGATGCACTTTAATACAGTACACCTAACCTAACGAACATTATAGCCTAGCCGCCTTTAAACATGCTCAGGACACTTACCTTAGCCTTCAGTTGGGCAAAATCATTAACACAAAGCCTGTTTTATAATAACGTGTTGAATATCTCATGTAATTTACTGAATAATGTATTGAAAGTGAAAAACATTAACCCATCGTAAAGTCAAAATATCGTAACATGGACCGTCGTAACCCGGGCAGCGTCTGTACATAGTACTTGATGATATACAATCGTTACTGGTTTATGCGTTTACTATACTGTACTTTTTTTTTTTTAGTGTACTCTTTATGTGTAAAAAAAAGTTTGCTGTAGCCTAGCCGTGTAGCAAGCTATACCATCTAGGTTTGTGTAAGTATACCCTGTGATGTTCGCACAATAACGTTATTGTCTAAAGCCGCATTTCTCCAAACGTTCCTGTCATTAAGCAACACACGACTGTATTTTAGAAAACAGTCAGTCGTGTTTTATTTGACTTGTCCTATTTCACCTTTGCGCTGATTCTTCAGATGATCATTGAACCCACGAGCCCCAAACTCCTGCCTGACCCGCTGAAGGAGCCCTACTACCAGGCGCCGTACACCCTGGTTCTGGAACTGACAGATGTCCTGCTGCACCCAGAGTGGTCGGTATGTGCCGCCCGTCCTCTCTGAAGACGCATCCTAACACTGGCCAATTGACGAAGACCAGGGACCAGTGTGTTTTTTTTTGCAGAATACCCTATTTAAGCAGCTTGTACTGCATCCTACTTGACAATATACATATAATTGAATACAACTGGTAAGATAAAAAATGGTAACTGTGGTGTGTTTTTCTAATTAGGTTTGCATTGGTTTTAGGTTTTTAATTTGCTGTATTTATTTACCTGCATTGTGATTAGTATTTGATTACACTGAAATCAGATGCTCTCATTTTCAATAGGCCACGTACACACATGCATTTTTCATATGTAGTGACTACTGCTGACTTTTTAGTCCTGACTACTTACAATACTGGTGGCACTAAAGTATTCCGGGAGGATTTCATTCAGAAGGTCACTAAACCTATTCTCCTATAACTCCCTCCTCCTCCCCGCATCCCGTTTCCCACATGGATCCAGTAGCCATCTGGCGGACACAACTGCTGGCGAGCACAACCACCTGTACCCCTCCTGCCCCCACCCCCCTCCCTGGCCTGCTTGGCCCCGCCCCTTTCTGCACCTGGCCAGCTGTGCAGGCAGCCGTAGGTAACAGGTGGGCTCTGGCTGTAACTGGACACCTGCTGTCAGGAAGAACTGCGGCTCCTCAGCGTGGGCCAGAGCTTTGATTTCTCAAGTGCAGGGAGTTTCCTGGGTCTGGGTCCCCTGCACTCACTTCAAAAAGAGAAAACCACTATTCGCTACTTTTGACAGCTTATTTAACTTTCATTGTGGAAAGGCCTCTGAACTGGGAAATTAATGTAAATGTTTAATTACACTTGCATGAGATGAGTGCCAGTTATTTGCCGAAATAGAAAGTCCCTCACTTTTTTCTCTTTTTGTAACACATGGAGCAAACTGGGTATTTTACTGGAGCATTTTTGATTACGTACCCAGCTCAAGATGAAAGATCTTTGTTCCTATCAATCGTCTTCTAGGACTTGAACCAGTCTTCCATTATACTGCTTGAAACCTCCAAAGGATTAATAACAGCTTAACAAATTTAATTCCCTCTTTCTTTTACCTCCCAATTTCTTTTTCTGAGCCATGTACATTTTAACGGTTATCTGTCATACAGACTCTTTTTCTTCATTTGTGTAGCTGGAAACAGGTTGGCGTTTCAAGAAGAGGCCAGGCATCGACTACCTGCTTCAGCAGCTGTCACCTTTGTATGAGATCGTTATCTTCACCGCTGAGACCGGCATGGTGAGCGGCACACGAGCCGCCGTACATTACCGCCATAACACATTGCTCCTGCACTTCTGTATTAATTGCCGATTTCTTAATTCTCTTGCACCCAGATACTCAATTTTGAAATGTAACGGAATGGTATGAAACTTCCTGTTGCATTTCTAACTGAATTTCTGTAATGTATAGTAATTCGGAAGGTTTAGCGTTATTGAAATCTTTCACTCTTAAATGTTTATTTCTGTCCCTATATAGCGTAAAGCTATATCAAATAATGATAATACAGATATTATATCAGCTATTTAGGCATATTTTATTTATTTAATATATCTCAAGAAACTATAGTAAAATGTGAAGCTTTATCATTTTATTTCAGCTCATATCCTGTCTCTACAAGTTTTAAAAGGCCAAAAAAAACCTAAATAGCCAAGTGGATATAATGAAGTAGTTTGACCAGTACTTTTCTAGGCATAATTTTCTTAAATGCTTTATAGATAAACAGGCATCTGTTTAAGCTTAAGCTTTATTGTCTTTTATTTATTGGGCCTGCATCTGTTTATAACATTGTGTGTAATGGGTAAAGTAAAATACTCTGTTATACATTCACATGCATATTACCTGGTCTATCAGTGTTGAAGGGCATATTTCCTTTGCATTTCTAATGCATGTTATTGTAGTGGAGCTATTTTAAGATCGCATTCCTTATTTAGATGGGTATGCCTAAGCGTGAAATTCGTTGGAAGTCGTCTGATACATATGCATAGCTGCTGAATGACCTGCCTGAATTTCACAAAAAGGAAAATTTAATTCCAGGAAGAACATCGTGAAATGTTTTAATAGCAAGCTAACGGTATGATAATGAGGCCGAAGGATTTATGCCGTCCATATGTTTTGTGCTCTCTTATGTATTTGAAGTCCACAGAGGTTGTCTGTCCTGTGTTTGCAGACTGCCTACCCCCTGATCGACAGCATAGACCCCCAGGGATTTGTTATGTATCGCCTCTTCAGAGATGCCACGCGTTACATGGACGGTCACCATGTTAAGGTACCAAAGAGATTCTCATACTGGTATGCGGAAAGCCAGCCACTATAGGGAGAACTCTTTTTACGAAGGCAATAAGGATTTTCTTTCCTCTAACTTTTTTATGGCCAGTTTTGTTCAAGTTGGATTAATTCATTAATTCAGCAAAGGTCAGAGTGTTTATAGACCAGCTAAGTTTATGATAAATTCGTAGTTATGAGATTTTTATTTATTTATTAATATTTGTAAGGAAGACCGTAAAATATCCTGTAACAGGTTGTCCGGATAAACTTACAAGTGAAAAGTGATTTATATCACCTGTGTGGGGCATACAAAAAATAAAAAGAAGAGATTTAGTTGTTTCCTGCTGAGAAACGGTCTTTCGCAGAGAGTAGAACTGAAATCTGACTTGGCAGCGTTTGTACATTTATCATTTTCCATAATATTGTCTTCTGTCTTATATGTATATACCTTTCTAAAAGAAAATACTTGATCTTACAACCTGTTGGTTGGCAAAATGTTTAATTTTTTTATGCACAACCAGTTTATGTTTAAAAATAAAACACACACTTAAAAATCTAAAAAATCAGATATGTGGATTATGGGACTTAGAAAATGGATTTATTTGATGATGATAACTGAATAGAATATGTCAAAATATATGATGTGCACAAAGGGTTTGGGCCATTCCGGAATGCATTCATCAATCCCAGTCCAAATCAGGAAATGGAACTAGAGTTGGACTTTAAATCTCCCTGAAATTCAAATTCAATTCCAATTCAGTTCCGCATAGTTTTTTTTTCCAATCCCAACTCCAGTTCCATTTCCTGATTTTGAATTAGAATTGATGAATGCATTCTGGAATGGCCCCAACCCTGCTGCCACACATTTGATTCATCTGATTTGATTCAAATTACAGTTCTAGATTGAAAGAAACTGAAAGTGGAGATATTTAACACCACTACACTGATATTGGGAATTTTTTAGGTGGTTTGGGTTTGCAAGACCTTGGACCAAGTAGTTGTTCAGGTAGAGAGATATATTAACAAAAATGTCTTTTTAATAGTGGTGTTAATGTGACAGAACTCGAGTCTCCAGCTATTGCACATATCAAAGCAGATTTTTTAGCTTTTTTGATGAGGAAGAGATTCTGAGAATATGACGGTCAGGTGAAAAGATTTACTGGGGTGTAGGTTTGGTACTAAGACGCTGTGCTGCCTGAGAGACCGTTCATGCTAATGCCAGTATTTTGAATTTGGTATGACGCTTCATAAGTAATATGTGGAGGAAAAACAGGAAGGTGGGGGCTTGGCCAATGAAAGCAAGGCATATACATTAGGTACCTCCTGGAATGTGTTGTCACTGGATGTTGTAGGAATAATCTTCAGGATTACATCATAGATGCTTTGTTTTGGTTGGTATCTGTGTCAGATGAAAAATTCTGCTGACTGATGAGCGATTAAGAATGTTGAAAAAATTTACATTATCATCAATTTGGGGAGTGTTCTGAAAGGAAGCTTTCGTAGAGATTGAGCCATATAGTAACTCTCGACTTCCTGGATTTGAATTGTTTTCTTTTTGTCTTGCGCAACTTGATTGAGTCACACTGGATCCATGCATTGAGGCAAACCTAGGAAATGGTTGTGCTGGTTTAGTGTTGAAAAGAATATGATAGCATATATAGATAAAGCCCAATTGCTCTCCACATGTTACATGGGCTAGTGCTGCAGTTTGCTCCTGTGGCCCAGAGACATATGGGCAGTCCCCCAGTTACAAACAAGATCCGCTCCCTATGTCTGTCTTTTAGTTAAATCTGCGGTTTCCATATCTACAGTTTCAGTTACCTGTGGTTTACCACAGTTTGGGAAAAAAGAATTGTAAACATGTAACTGTGTTTCATTGTTCTTTCGTCCTTTTAGGGGTATGAAAAGCATGATTTTCGTTGCGGACTCATCCCTTGATAGATTTTTTTTCACTGCTCTATCATTTCTTGAGAATTAGGCTGAAACATTTGAATCCCTTTCATTTGAGAGAGTACAATACATAACAGTAGCGTATAATAATGGACTTTATTATTAGTGTATTTAATGTTGGTAATATTTTACTGTGCATAATAGGTTGGAGGGTCTGCAGGTGGTTCACTATTCCGCGCAGTAGGTCTTGGAACGTATCACCCGTAGATATGGGGGGGGGCTACTGTAGCAGACTTTGCAGCAGTCCGTTTGTAAGTACGAGTTGTCCTCTAAGTCAGATGTTCTTAACCTGGCGACTGCCTGTACTGTTCAGCTAATTAGTTTCTTCCAATTGCATGTGTAAGTGTGTGTGCATGTTCTCTGTGATGAACTAGCATCCTGTCCAGGACATACCCTAGCCTAGTGCCCTCTGTCCTAACTCGACTCGACTCAACTCGTCTCTGGCCTCCGGTTGAATGATGGATGAACTTGGACTATAGGGAAGAAGTAGGAAACATTTTTAAAATGTAACAATAAATTGATTAATCAAATTAAAATTAAAAAGTAATCTCCATTGCAGAAAAAAAAATTACCAGATAACTTCCCTTCTATGACATTATTATATTGTGTACATAGAAGAATAATTTGTTCTTATTATTGAATTCTTAATTTCGTAGTTGATATAAAACCACTCAAATTGTATGTGCTGTTTTTTTTGGCTATTCAATATATTCTTCATCATTTAAAATAATCAGTTTCTCACTGCTATCCAGTTATATCAATGTTCATAGCATACATAATGGCATTCAGTGACTTGCTAGTCATCCAGATGAAATAATTGATAAAATGAGGTTCATCAACAGTCAAATGAACATCTGTTGAGCATGGTCCTTTCTAAAACTGTAAAGCGATTGAAGGGTATAAAAATCTTTCATGCAGTCTGCATTTCTTGTTTGCCTTCCTGTTGTCCGATGATGGTTTCGCTAATAAAATCCTTCTGCAGTTATAATCCATTGTAAGAGTTTTTGAAGAAGTAGATGGACGTCACTCAGAGCCTCCACACGGCCCCTGCCGCCCTTCTGCTGTGTGCGTGCTCTGTCCCGTCCCAATTACAAGAGAGCGAGTGTGTCTAGGTCCCCACTCTTCCCGCTGACCTTCTGCTCAGCTCTTTCTTTCCTCCTCCTTGCATGAAAACCCTCCCTCACCCCCGCCCCCCACATTCACCTCCCATCTGGCCTTCTGAAGCAACAGGGGAGCGTGAGGGGGGAGAATGGGAGGGGTGCAAGAGAAAAGAGTCTGAAACGGTGATCCCTTAAGGGACTGCCTTTCTAGGCTGAATTTCGATGGTGTCAGATTAAGACAAATATACGTTTTCAGACCAAAAAAAAATAATGAATTTACTTTTGTTTATTGATCAGTGATGTCATGACTAAATATTTCCTTAAAGGTACTTTCCTCAATGTTTGATTTTTCTCCCAGATTTCAGTGTAAGCTATTAATGTCCTCTAGAGAATGAACAAATAAGTGTTCTCATATATATATATATATATATATATACATACACACACCACAAAGAGTCGTTCCTTTTGCCAGCGTTTTTTATTTTGCCGTAGTCATTTTTCTTTGTCTACCGAAATGTCCCTCACGTATTTTAACAACCATCAGTGTCATTAACTTTAAAATATTCACTGAAATTACCTTACAGTTGAACTTGGCCAAACATTTAACAGTAGAAACAGGAGCTGTTTTGCAGAAATATTTCATGAAGTAATGCTGAAGTGTAGATCAGAATCTAGTGTCAGAACCCTGTCACTCAGTGGTGTTCATAGTTATAATTGTTCCACGTTGTTCTTGTCATTAAAGAGAAATAGCTCACTGCCTACCTTAATACTTCAAAACCTACAAAGTCCTTACTTTTTCAACCAGCTGTGCTGGGCCTGGAGTCTAACCTGGAATTAGTCATCTAGTGGCTATAAAAATAGAGCACGCCTGTGATCCATCGGCATGTGCGCACTTGCGCACATACACACACATGCTGCCCCTATTTCAATAATCCCTCCAGAGACTGCCAGTAGCTGTGTCTGAAAGGTAAACGCAGATCCCATCCTGCGGGGATTGAAATAGATTACGCTGGTGAGGCAGATGCCGGTGAGTTAACGTGAGGGAGTGTGGCAGTGCGTCCCCCAAGGTTTCCCACACACAGACCCGTACCACGCTTGTGTCAACACCTCATGGGGATACAGATGACCCCGATGATTGAGCTGAAGAAAACACAGCGTCTCTGTCCATCTGTTCATGCCGAACATTGAGACAGCACAGAGGACAGCTGGTCTCTGAGAAAGTGCGTGTTTGTCTTTTGTAATATGAAAATTATGCTGTTTTTTTGTTCTCTGAACTGATCATTATTAGAGTCTAAATTGTTTTTTTTCTGTTCTTTTTTTTCTTTCTAACTTGACGCAGCTCTTTGAGGAGCTTGTATGTAGAGATACCCAAACGATATATGAAGATAAAAAACCAATGATATATAGGAAATGGAATTGATAACTATGAGTCTTGCCTCTCCACAGCATGTAACATCTTAGTTTGTGATTAATCCAGTTTAATGACTTTAATGCAAAACTGCTTAGAGTATTACTATTTCAGTGTTAACTTTTTCATAATACTTTAATAGAAATCTGATTTTAATATCTACTTTTCTCTGTAAGTGTCATTATTTTTGCTTTGAAGGTGTCTAACTGGAAATTTTCAAAGATTACTTTTACACATTTTGTATGTGCTAGGCTGTCATTTTAAATACGGAATTTTTTTAATTGCCTGTATCAGCATGTTTTTCCTCAAGTAAAAATAACACAAACCTCATAGTTAGCATTATTTTTCAACCATAGTAAATTGTTTACGCATAAATGCAAAATACGTGCATGTTTTGAACACAGCGCTCGTGGAAACTGAGATCCCTCTGTACCCAGTTTATACCTGGATAAATTAAGAAAGTCCCCTTGTTTTTTGTCGGTGTTTATCTTAAATGTTATTTTATCTGTTTTCTGTGTGATTGTTTCCCCAAACAGGATGTGTCCTGTCTCAACAGAGATGCCACCAAAGTGATTGTGGTGGACTGTAAGCGAGAGGCCTTTGGGTTACAACCTTTCAATGGGATGGCATTGCGTAAGTGGGATGGAAACTCGGATGACCGGACCCTCTATGACCTGACTGCCTTCCTCAAAAGTAAGTGCATCACAGTCTGCTTTACTGCTCTTCATGTAGATACAGTTGTGTTTTCCTTGAACTCTAAATTAGAGAAAAGAACTTCAGTGCTTTATTGTTCTTCTGTATTTCCGGCAGCCATTGCCATTAATGGGGTGGAAGATGTCCGCACTGTGCTGGAGAACTATGCCCATGAAGAAGACCCCATTGAGGCTTTCAAGCGCAGACAGGCACAGCTAGCACAGGTACATACGGCTAGATCGATTTTTTTTTTCCCCAAGGAACTTTACTTTCAAGGAACTAATGCATGGCTGGCCACCCAAGCCTCAAAGATGTCTCACGTGCAAATGGTTTCTATCTTTTTGCAGGAAGAGGAGCAACGACTGTCTGAGCTCTCAAAGCATAAGAAACAAAGTGTGTCTTTGGGATCTTTAGCAGTGAGATTGTGGGCCCGTTCCAAGCAACAATGAGAAGCGTTTTCATTCAGACATCTCAGGCCGTTTGGTTGGGGCAGCGAGCCAGTGGAAACGGCTGAAATCACACCAGGAAGAGTTGCGAAGAAGGGAGGGTGTTAGGATTTGGGAATGGTAACTGAGGATAGTAACTGTCTAAATCCTCTTCCAGATGTCTAGGAGTGTGGCAGTATACTTTCGTGGAGGAGGGGAGATGCATGTAGCATACATGTAACATTCGGATCCTCCATGGCGTTAGTTACATTCCTGTATTGATTAAGGCTCTTATATTCATCGTTTGTTACTGAAGTTCTCATCAAGCTTGGGGTACAAGGGACAGTAATGTGGTCAAAACAAATTTGACCAAACTTAATGAAGATGCAGAAGAAAAGTGAACAAAAGTGAAGAAAAAATTATGATAATTGGTCTGAACATCCGGTAGTTGCCACAGACCTGTTGCCCCCCGCAACACGACTGAGACCAGGAGGCCAGGAGTTATTTAAAACAATGAAACTCCATCTTTTGAAGTCGGAGTCAGGCTTTGCTCCCTCAACAAGGAGAACCCACAGTGAATAAGTTATGCCTGTGATGCGAATGCAGGTTCATGGTAATACGCCTTTGTGAAAGGCACCTAACGTTAAATAAAGGGAGACCGGGTAGGTGCTGCTGTGTTTAGTTACTTTCAATGGCTTGGTTTGTGTATTTGTTGAATTCCTGTGAATTGCAAATGTCATAAATAAATGAAAACTGACTTCACACTTCCTGTTTTATTATGACATCACGCCTCGGTCGCTTTCAAATGTGCAGCTGCTCTTAACTCTAAGTTATATAACAATTGCATTGTACGAGTAAGTCGGACGTGTTCTTGAGCACTTTGCGCATATTTGCAAGTCCATAGCTGCAGAGATCGCATGGGCAGGGGGCCCCTCCCTATGTTGAGCCACTTTTTGTCCTGCACTGCAAAAACATTGCTAGGCTAACTGGTGACTGAAGCGCTTATAAAGTATGAGTGTTTTCATGTGTGCCCGATGGACTGGCATCCCATCCAGGGATACACCCTCATCCCCCATCGAACCCAACCCAACCCTGACCTGAATAGGTGATTGGAAGATTGATGGATGGAAAGCTACATAGTATTCATCCATTTTCTTAGAGCCACCTTACCAGCATAGGGTTAGGGTGAGTTTGTAGCTCTTCCCAGTATGCAAAGCGGCAGAGGCGGAGCCGGAGATTGTCTTCTGCGGTAGTGATGCGCGGGTCGGGTATTTTTCCAACCCGCGGGTCCCGCTTTTATGAAATTATTTGGCCCGCCCCGCAAATAAACTGACAATTTCTTTACCCGCCCCAACCCGACCCGCGGGTTACCCGCAGGGTCCACGGGTTACGAGACGACCCGCGCATCACTATTCTGCGGGCACTTTGGGACTGCTTGACTTTAGGGGAGGTGCTCTGAAATTTAGGGTTTCCCCTTAATGTGCCAGACCCCAGAGTTTCATTTCTACGGCAACACCCCCGACACAAACACATTTTATTAATGGATTTATTTTTCAAAGTATAAATTATAGTAGTCACACATTTAATGGGGCTGCCTAAGGAATGCTATGGATATCACTGGGGGTAGCTACAGCACCCCTACGTGCCCCTACCTGGTGCCACCCCTGGCAGGATGCCAATCCATCACAGGGCACACAGACTGATGCACTAAGAACAATTTAGAAGCCTTAATTCAATAATTAATTCAACCCATATGGATGCAGTTAGAACATACAAGCTTAACACAGAACTGAGGCCAAGAAGCAAAATGAGAATCCTGAAGGTGTCACAGGCCACACTGATTGGAATCCATCCATCCATCCACCCATCGTCGTCTCTTGAGTTTGCATGGTTGCCCTGGGTGACTTAGGATTCCTCCCGCAGTCTGAATACACAAAGATGGAGTCTCTAAACTGCCCATAGTGTGTGTATGTGTATGTATGTGAGTCAGATATGCATTATATTGTGGGAACTAAATGTCCCCACAATGCAATAAAAACCTGTTGTTTTTACATTGTGGGGACCATTTTTTCTGTCCCCACAAGGGGAAATTCAACTTTTGTTGCATCTGTGACTGCAATCAAAAAACTAAAAATGCTGAAAGTCTTGTATTTTGTTTGGTTACTTATGGTTAAGGTTTGGGCTGGGTACAGGGTAAGGTTGTCATTGGTTGGATTAGGGTTTTGCTCATAGAAATGAATGGACGGTCCCCACAAATTTAGCAATAAATAAACTGTGTGTGCATGTATGTGTTTAGTCTGTGATGGATTGGCATCCCATCCAGGGTGTACCCAGCTTTGTGCCCTGTGGTGGCAGAGGGAGGCTGCACCCCCCACCCAGAGAACCCTGACTGGGAAAAGCTTTTGGAAGATGGATGTATACTGGTAGTATTATGAAAATACTGCCAGACAATGCTAAATATTTCATGTAGAACTATTTTAATACAGTAAATATACAGTGAAGGTATGTCTTAGTCTTTCAGGGTATTTGTCAAGGGTTACTCATTTTAGAGAACATCTTCCCCGTGCTTGTCCAGTTAACTTGTCACATTTCTAGAAGAAAATATTTTGTTTGGTTAAACTTTCTCGACCCTTGAAACCCACACGAGGATTTTAACATGCAACAAGTTGCAAAGTGTCAACGGGAATGCGGACCAGAGACAGACGGTTTGAAAAATGTAAATATGTCGAGCATGTGGTCTGGCAATTCACGTAAATGCAGCCTGCAAATTGAGAGGTGTCAAATCGACTTCAACGAATAAACACCGGTACTCGGATAGTGGCACATGTGCACCTTTACAACTAGGCTACTCAAACAGAGAATACTAAAGTTTTGGGAGTACAATCGGGGTAATTTGCCTGATAATTAAAAAGCCTTATTCGGCACTTTAGGTTACAATAGTAGTGTTGGTATGTCTCAGAAACGGATAGTGTTTATACTAATTTAAATGCATTTTATTGGAAAGCTGTACACAAGATACTGGATCCTAAGAACACGACTAAAGATATTAATACGCATACACACCGTCATAAACTATAAAACTAAAAAAAGTAACTCACATAAGGCAATTTGTCAACGTGTGTGCGAATGAAAAAGCGATTTTTCAAACGACGTGGGCACGTGAACAAATTGCATAGCAATTACGTTTCACTTGAAACATAACACGGGAGCCTGGGAATATTTTGTTTAAAGCTTGGGGTGGTACTTTTCACGCCTCAGACCAGGGACCAAATTTGCGTTTATTGGTGTCCTGTGCCTTGTGCCTCTAACACCTCAGCAAACTGCATTCCGCCTTACCCCCCCCAACTCTTTTGCCTCTACAATATTACACCGGAGGCAGACAACACGTCGCACCTTAGAATTAAAGGGGGGCTGCACCATTTGGATCTTCGGCACGTGGAGAGTTTAAGTGCCGGGTGCCTGCATACCCCGCTGACGATGCAAATGGCAGGCAGCAGTAACACTCCTTACAGCCGCTTTGCATGAATATCTGACGGTTCGCACGTGTCAGATACTGCATGTTATTCCTCCGGAACTCTATGACGCATTTTACTCATGTAGCATTTTTTACCTATTAGGCTGTCAGTTGCTGAATCTAACTGAACATTTAGCGGATAACAGGCCTTCATTACAGTTTGGTACGGAATTATTTCAGCATTCTTTAGCGCATTTCTTGTTCATTTTGATTTCTTCAAAACATGTTTCTTTGTTCCATTGCCTGTGCACCTGAGCCTCCAAAATAGCAAGTGATCTTGAACGAAACTCTAACTTTTGCATAACTACAGATGCCACCTAGAATAAATCTTTAATTTAAAGTTGATTTATCATGAATATAAAACTGATTTCCCTTTGACGAGTTTTTTGTATTATTAATGTTTGCTCACGCTAGTAGTCAAAATTGTGTCATATGCTTTTCCCAACAACAGACGCATGAACGCATAGATAATATTTGTAAAATCATACATTGGACGATTAAATAAGTAACCGTAGCAATAGTTGAATAAAGTTCTGCAGTCTCTAAAAACTTGAAGTGTTTCCAGTTTTGGCCATCAGTGTAAATAGCCAGCTTCGTCCTAATGGCATTCAATAGCTTTAGGATTACCATGCATACACTGTTCAGTCACATTGTTCAGAGCAAAGATTAATTTGCTTCTCTCTAGCTAAAAACCGCATCTTCGCTGCTGCTTGAAACTCAAGCCGTGAACGCTTCCAGTCTGGATAATGGTTCAACAAAATAATGACAATGGCGTTTCACCTATAGCCCTTTTCTCTTTTTTGTGCTGCGCTTCAGACGAAGCGTGCCTGGGATGAAGTCACTGCCAGCGGAGGCACGCGCTGCCTTCATTTGAATCATAAAAGAAAAGCGCCAAAGATGAGCAACAGTTTGTAAAGCTTCTTTTGTCTGTCCCTAAAATCCCCGCCCCCATCAAACATACACTTTAGGGACACATTCTCATAAGAAACGCAGACATGTGGCTAGCTTGGGAAAAAAAAAGCAGACGAAACTTTACCCGGGCACACGCCAGACGCCTGGATTAATTAATCAAATGTGATAGCAATAGTAATTAAACAAATTACTAGTTATTGTCACGAAATATGCCACTTCTGCATCTTTGCCAAGCAAGTATGGAACAATGGAAAACATTTCACATGACAAAATAAATGTTGATATATATTTTATCAAACTGAGTGACATATTTGACATTTTATCACAAGAAATGTTTCTTGTATAAACTTTGTATTGCAATGGATTAGTGATGTCATGGGATGTCATTTTTTTTGTCGCTCTTATCTATTGCTGTGTCCACTTCCCGATGAAATTGAGAATTGCGTGTAGGCCTATAGTTATGACATTTACCCGAATGCATTTTTCATAATTTCTCTTTTTTTATAACGTGCTGTTAGTTTTATGCAAAAGATAAAACGGATTCAGAAATACTAGTATTATTGATTCATGCGTCTGTTGTTGAGAAAAGCATATGGCATATACACTTCGCTTGACTACAACTCGGAGTATACCTCAGGCTACCCCGAGGCCAATCGAACCGCTATTGAGCTTTATAATAGAACCCGCAACCCTTCCCATACGCAAAACAATGGCACAGATTTCGGTGGACTGACCGTCTGCCATGTCTTGGATAACAAAAGAAGCTGGGGAACATATAGGCCTACTAGGCCTATACCACCGCAGCATTTCAGAAATATACTTTGTACGGTACTTATTTAATATAGCCTAGTTATCATATACCAGTAGTCCTATTCTCTCTTGTAGTTCTCCTTAAGGTTGTTTGTTTTGGGACGTGTATCTGACATTACGTTCACTTTTACTCTGATTTCGTATTTTCTGGATTCGTTATTCGCCTTAATTTAATGCTATAGAATTTTCAGATATGCTACCGATTGACGGACACACAGTAAGTTTTCAGAGGTATTTTAAGAACAATCCCATTTAAGTGGTTATTACGTGGTGAAGCGTGCGAGAGGGACGGGCCATAGTAAAGCCAGGTGCCGTTGATTACCATACAGCTGTAAGCATGGAGCCTCAACAAAAGTAATTACCCCAAAATATAGAGCTCCCGGTGCAACCCCCCACAACCGTTCCTTAGACTTCACAGACCTAAAACCAAAACCCCACATAACAAAAGACCCCTCCGGATCTCCCGATGGCACAATAAAGGATCGCAGTCCGAAGCCTGTCGGTTTAACGACTCGCACGCGTCAGGAC